TTTCTTTTTTTTTTTTTTTTTTTTTGAGACAGAGTCTTGCTTTGTTGTCCAGGCTAGAGTGAGTGCCATGGCGTCAGCCTAGCTCACAGCAACCTCAAACTCCTGGGTTCAAGCAATTCTTCTGCCTCAGCCTCCCGAGTAGCTGGGACTACAGGCATGCGCCACCATGCCCGGCTAATTTTTTCTATATATATTAGTTGGCCAATTAATTTCTTTCGGTCTCGCTCTTGCTCAGGGTGGTTTCGAACTCCTGACCTTGAGCTATCTGACTGCCTCGACCTCCCAGAGTGCTAGGATTATAGGCCTGAGCCACCGCGCCCAGCCTTGGCTTTTCTTATGTAATGGTTAACATGAATTCTTTCTAGATGTTGACACTGTGCCAAGACCTTTACGTGATTCTCTCATTAATCCTCACCTCTTGGTGTGAGGAAGGGTCTGTCCTGAGACCCTTTTCTCAGCGGAGCCAACAGGGCCCTACTGGAGGAAGTGGCTTAGTCATTTACAGGGTCTGTAACGCCAGGCCAGGCCCCAGGTTCCACCCCTAGGCCACTCCTGGGCCCTGCCCCGCACCTGGCCTGTGCCCTGTGAGGTAACTGAGGTCATCTGGTCATCGGGGCCCTGGCCTTGAGCTGGCTCCAAGGGAGGCCCCACAGCTGGCAAGCAGCCCTGTGAAATGCCACCGCTCCCCAGCCCCTCAGGGTGTGCCCTCAGTTCTCTTCCTCCCGGTGTTGGGGGACAGAGCCCTGGCTCCAAAAATGAGCTGCCAGGTGACTCTGGGCAAGTCACCCCACTTCTCTGGGGTCTCTTAGTCTCTAATGTGAAGAGGCCTGGATGACCCTGAGGGGTCACTCTTCCCAAGCCCTGGCCAGCTGGGGCCCCTGTCCCCTGCTGTCTGGGAGAAGGTTCTGTCTGTTCGGGGGTCGAGGGATGCTGGAGGAGCCTGTCCTTGCGTTTCCCGTCGCGGCTCAGGCTGCAGTTCTGAGAGGGACTTGTAGTCCCCAGAGTGTCTGGCATCTGTCAGGGTGAGTCCAGATCTCCTTCCCCCACCCCTGCGGCCCAGCCCAGGGCTCCGATCCCAACACTCCCCTCAGTGTCCCCTGAAGCCGGCAGGAATTTTGGGGGGCGGCTGTGTAGCTGCCCAGCTGGCCGGCCTCACCCCACTGAACCCCTGTTTCCTGTCTGTCAAGCAGGGTCTCAGAGTGCTGCAATGAGGCTGAACAGGAAGGCGCTGGGCCCAGAGCACAGAGCCAGGCCCCCCCATGAGAGCTGAGTTCAGACCCCTCCAAACTGCCAAGTCCTCTCCGCCTCACCTTTCCGAGCTAGAAGATGCAGGTAACAGTGGTCCCTGGGTCCTGCCCCCTGGGGCACCGGGCTCAGCCCCTCCAGAGACCCCTCCTTAAGAATTTCCCCAAATCACACTGAGCGGGGGTGGAGCAGTGTGGCCGCGGGGTCCCTGGAGCCCTCCCAGCTCTGGAGCGAGGCTCATGGATGACAAAGTCTCTCCTGTGGGACCCCCACATGTGGGGTTATTGTCATTGCTGATGACCTTTGAGTCCCTGAGGGGTATTGTACAAAAGAAAGAAACTGAGGCTTAGAGAGGCAAGGCCACCTGCCCAAGGTTGCCAAGGTCTCCTACCTTGAAGGAGCCAGCTGTAGCGGAGAAAGGTCGCCCGCACGGGCCCTGCTGCTCCATGGCCACTTCCCAGCAGAACTTCTCAGCCACTGGCCAGGAGGTAGCCAGGGACCTGGCACCTTTCATCCCTCTGTTTCTCGCTCCCTTCCAGGGTGGGGCATGAGGTGACACACAGTTGTGGGCACCTCTGCCAAGCCAGCTCTGCCCAGCCAGAGGGGGTGGCGTGGGCCAGGAAGATTCCCAAGACCTCCCCAACCTGGATAGGCCTAGTTTACCGGATAGGTTCCGGCCCTCACGCTGGGATCAGCCCAGGGACCTCTTGGCCTTTCTGTAAAGTTTCCGAAGTTTGGGAGTCAATATCCGCCTCCCCCCAAGTTAAATAACAACTGGGTGGAGGTCAAAGGTGAGCAGGCAGGCAGGAAGGGAGCGTGCTGGGAGTGGGGTATGTTTGAGAGACTTCTGGACCTGGCGGCGGCTGGCTTTTTTTTTTTCTTTCTTTTTTTTTGAGACAGAGTCTCACTCTATCACCCTGGGCAGAGTGCATCATCATAGCTCGTTGCAACCTCAGACTCCTGGGCTCAAGCAATCCTCCTGCCTCAGCCTCCCAAATAGCTGGGACTACAGGTGTGCACCACCAGGCCCAGCTATGTTTTTCTATATTTACTAAACACAGGATCTTGCTCTTACTCAGGATGGTCTCAAACTCCTGGGCTCAAGTGATCCCAGAGAGCTGGGATTACTGGCTTTATCGGACCTCCCAGCTTTCCTTACCACAGCCCACCTATCCTGACCGTTAGGACCTGTTTTGCTGGGATCCTGGGATTGGGGGTGCGAGTACAGGGCACAGCCTGGGCCCAAGGTGCCCTTGACTTAGAGTCCATGTCTGCTGAAGTAAGAGGCTTTGTTTCATCAAGCCATTTGTTCAAAAAGAAGCCAAGACACAGAACCCATTTTCCCGGCCTGCAGGTGGCATCAACAGCACGTCCCAACAAGCTGGAGAAGGCCTTTTTGCGTGCATGGCTTGCTAGGAGCACGGTCACGCCCCCACAAGGCCCTGCTCTCTGGGAGCCTCTACTTGGGGCCATGCTCCTCCTCTATGGGGGGCACAGCACCCATGTGACACCAGGGCCCAAGAGGCTGAAGCCAGCCAGTCCCAGTTCCTCCCCAGGGCGGACTTTTGGGGAGAGAGCAGTGGGGGTGAGCTTGGAGTCAGCAGCTTCAGGGTTTAGGGCCTGTTTTGGTTGTTTTAAAATATGGTTTATTTGCATGAGTAAAAATATTAAGGAAATAGAAAACACCAAGAAACGTAAAGGACAGACCCATCCACTGCGCAGAGCTCTCTGAAGGCTCCCTGGCCTTGAGCACTTTGTGCTCACCCCTCACCCCACAGCCCTGTCTCTCCTGGGATTTCTGCTTCTAGGTCACCCCAACCCTCTCAGCTGCCTGATGCCCCTCGCACTCCACTTTGTTTTTTTCTACAGAGCTGATTCCATCAAACCAGTCAAAACCTACTGGAATATGGGTTCCACTGCTCTGTTCCCAGCTGTATTAAGTCTAGAACAGTCTGGCCCTTGGAAGACACACCCAGTAAACATATGTTGAATGAATGAATGAAGCCATCAAAATTGCAGTGATGATCCCAAGAGATAACAGACTATCCTTGTGCAGTTGCTCATGAGAAGTTTCTCTAAGTGGAATTGCTGGGTCAAAGAACACGAACCTTTTAGAGAAGCTTTTTATCCTCAGAGACAAAACATTTTGAACAATTACGCCAGCCTGTGGGTTTTACCTCATCAGTGATCGGTCATTCAATACCTGTCGATCACCATAGGACACCTCACTGTGGCTTTAATTTGGATTTCTTTGATTACTAGCCATACTGGGTTGAACAGTGTCTCCCCCAATTCATGTCGTCCCAGAAACTCAGAATGTCTTAACTGGGAAGAGGGTCTTTGCAGATGTAATTGCTTAAGATGAGGTCATACTGGATTAGGGTGGGTCCTAAATCCAATGACTGGTGTCCTCATAAGAGAGACAGAGGTCAGGCAGGTGGTGTGGTTCATGCCTGTAATCCCAGCACTTCTGGACGCCGAGGCAGGAGAATTGCTTGAGGCCAGGAGTTGGAGATCAGTCTGGGCAACATAGCAAGACTCTGTCTCCACAAAAAAACAGAAAAATTAGCCATGTGGTGGGCGCACACCTGTAGTTCTAGCTGCCTGAGAGGCTGAGGTGGGAGGATCACTTGGGGCTAGAAGTTTGAGGTTGCAGTGAGCTATGAAGATGCCACTGTACTCTAGCCTAGGTGATAAAGTGAAACCCATTCTCAAAGACAGAAACACTGGGATGAATGTCATGTGAAGACAGGCAGAGACTGATGTGCTATACCCACCAGTCAAGGACTGCCAGCAGCCACCAGAAGCTAGGAGACAAGGAACAGATTCTCCTATATAGCCAGCCGACCCTGCCATCTATAGATATCACACATCCAACCTCCAGAACTGGCAGAATACATTTTGTTACTTTTAAGCTAGCATGTTTGTGACAATCTTTTATGGCAGTCCCCCCGAAAAACTAATACACCAGCAAGAATTTTTTCTTACTTTCACTGGTCCTTTGTAAAGTTGAGCTTTGGGTCAATTTCTGGAATTAAGGACAGTCCCGGTGAAAGGTTTCACCAACCTTTCTTCCTGGCCCCACAAGAGGTCTCTGTCACAGAATGCAGGGAATTTACCTTAAACATGCCTGTCCCCAACTAAAGTCTAACAGGAAACATGCCCATCAGAATGTGCTGCTCCTGACTGCCAGCCCTGAACCCACACACACGGTCCAGCCCACTCCTCACCTTGCTCCAAGATACTGCCATCTCCCCCAACCCTGTGACCCTTCAACTCCTCTGCTCATTTCCTCTCTCACCTGCCCTGAGCCCTCCTCTCCCCAGCAGCCTGGGAGACAGTCCTTGTCAAGTTACAGATATAACTGTCACCCAGTGATTAAAAGCCTTGTGGCCCCAAGTGCCTAGGAGTCAAGTTTCAACATGTGTGTCTGTCAGCCGCAGTAGAGGGGCCACCCAGGTCACTACTGCAGATGACACTGAGCAGAGGAATAACGGGGCATCACAGCAAGTGCTCTGCAAAGTACCCGAGAGGAAAAAAAAGACAAAAAGTCTTTTGCAATTATATAAGGGAACATGAACTGCGACCAAAAGGAGCATCAAGATTTCTGGTGTGAATCTGTAAGTCACTTTGGAAAATAAAAAAAAAAAAAGATTTCTGGTGATATGACAAATCAAATCCTAACTATCAGGCCCAACCTGCTGGCTGTGGGGTAAGAGCTGGGGGTCTGAACGCAGAACAGAACACACAGCCACTTACTGGGAAAAAAGTCAACTTTTAATCATAACTGACCAAACTGTATCCAGGAATGTCTCTGAACGACTGAACAAAAGAAACACGAAAAAAATTCTCCTACTCAAGAAACCAAGAGTTTTCGCCAGCCCCAATGCTTGCAGGGGTTAGGCTATGAGCAGCCCGGCCCCGAGGCTGGCCCTGTTCCCACGCTAGTTTCTCACCCGAAGAGAAAGGCTGGGGATGGATAAGGGGCCTGTCCCCTTCTCCCATTGTGCTGAGAGCTGTTACAAAGTCACTGGTGGGTAAGCCTCTCCTCCCACCCCTTTCGTGTCGTAAAGTAAACGGAGACCCTCTGAGCACCATCCGGAAAGCCGGGGAGCGGGGCGGCCCCCAGGCCCTCCTGACCCTCCAGCCAACGCTTCACTCCAGTCCGCTCGGCTGGTTGTTCCCAGTGCCCAGGGTAGGGATTAAATAAAATATGCACTAGAGAAAAAAACTCAAATGCCTCATTATCTCCACAATCCACGTCACACGGCAGAAGAAAAAATAAAATAGCCCTAGTGACTCGCCGGCCCTCAGAAGACACGCTCGAACTCCGTCTGGTTGGTGGTGGCAGGATTGCGGCTCTGGTTGGTGGACTGCTGGGTGATCTGACTGCCCTTCCGGCGCGGCGGCGCCAGGTACTCAAACATGGACGTCAGGTGGGTGGACAGCATGCCCTTGAGGTCCGAGGGCATGGGGTCAGACCAGAAGAAGTCGTGATTGAGGGCGTCGTCACTGTCGATGCGCTGCGCGGGATCCAGCACGAGCAGCTTGTCGATGAGGTCCAGCGCGTAGGGGTCACGCACGTAGGCCTTCAGCCTGTCCTTTACCTTCCGCTTCTGGCCCTTTACAAGGTCCAGCTTCTCAAATAGCTCGTATTTGTCCACATTTGGCCACACCTGCGAGGGAGGGGGCATTGAAACAGGATGGGGTTTGGTCAAGAAGGGCACGGCTTGTCCTTTGGTCAAGCACCTAAAGGGACTAAGACAACTTCTCCACCCAGAGGCTGCCAGACCACCCTGGGCGGGAGAACTCCATCCCTCCAGAGGGAAAGCAGCAGTGCCTGCCATAGATTTGGCACATGTCACATGACAGACCCTTTTACACAAATCACCTGCAACATGGGAGCCAATCCTGATATAGATACGTTTCTGTTTCAAAGAGAAACCGGGTACAGATTCTAATGCCTTGCCCAAGGCCACAAAACTAACTGGTGAGAGCACAGCCCCTGTGGCTCTCAAGAGCAGGCCCTGTCTGTCTACCAGCCTCCTCTCCAGAGAGCTTTCCTATTCCACTCCACTCCTCCTCTGCCAAGGAGATGTGCATCGCTGCACCCTGTGGGGACAAGGGACTTGGCCACGCACCTCAGGGGTGATGGAGCCACAGAGCTGGCTGATGAGGGCGAGCTGGTGCTGCTCCGTGTTGCCCTGCATGATAGGGCTGCGGGTCCACATCTCCGCCATGATGCACCCAGCACCCCACAGGTCAATGGGGGGGCCGTAGTCCCGCTCCCCTGGGAAGAAGAGCGCACCAGGAGGGCCCCTTGAGCCCGAGGGCCTCCCGAGGCTCCATGCCCCAGGGCCGGTGGCTCAAGAAGCCCTGGCAGTGGGGGGCTGTGGCCAGGCAGATGCCTGGCCCCTGCCCCCCTCTGCCCGCTCGGGAGTCCTCACCGAGCAACAGCTCCGGGGGCCGGTACCAGAGCGTCACCACGCGGTTGGTATAGCGGTTGGGCTGGCTGTTCTTGGCCAGACTGAAGGCCCGGGCCAGCCCAAAGTCTGCTAGCTTCAGGACCCCATCACGGGTGATGAGCACATTAGCAGCCTTCATGTCCCTGTGTAGGATCTGCAGCAAGGGCAAGAGGGAGAGTTCAGCCAGGTTGAGATGGGCCATCTAGCCACACCTCCCCACAGTGGGAGTAAAGGCCAGCCCAAGCCATGGTCTCTCCTCCCCTCCTCTGGCCCCCACCTTGTTCCTGTGGATGTAGTAGAGGCCATTAAGCAACATCTGCATCACCCTCTTGATCTCAGACAGCGTGAACTTGACCAAAACATTGCTCAACAGTCCAGCAAGGTCATGCTCGCAGAAGTCGAACACCAGGTATATACTGCCCTTGCAGCGGTTATACGGGGAAGCTGAGGCAGGAAGGGCACGAAGAAGAAAAAGTCAAAAACACCACACCCAACTGACTTTCGCACAGCCAGCTCCTACCCTCTCGAACCCACAGACACCCTTGCCCTCCAGAGCATCCATTTGTTCATTCCTTCACTTTGGTAAAGTATTTTCTGGGCCGGGTACTGTGGCAGGCCCCAAGGAAGCACCAGCTGCGATGAAAGAGGACCAGAGAGAGCAGTCACCACTGGTGTGTATGTCTGAGTTAAGAAGAGGCAATTTAAGTGTCGGGTTCTAACTTTGCAAACAATACCTTAGGCTGTCTCATCTTCTCCTAAGATCCAAACAACTTACCTTTAGTTCGACAAATCTCAATCAAGTTGACCACATTCTCATGTTTTAGAAGCTGGAGGATCTTGATCTCCCGCAAGGCTGTAATGGGGAACTGGGTGGGAGAAAGAGGGGACGTGGTTAAGACTGGGGGCACTACACCAAGGGTCTGGCTCTGGTCTACGTTAAGGTACATAGACTGGGAGATAGTAAGATCATATGCTCTGAAAATCAGCTGTCTCAGAAAGCCTCTGTAAAATGGGTGTAATACTAGTATGCACATTTCAAGGAGTTAGTCTGAGACAACGAATTGAAACAGCAACACTTCAAACACTTTACTACTGGCCCCTAAATGCTCCACAGTTCCAACCTTCCAACTTTACCTCTACGGCTGTTTTGTTTGCAACAAAAATGATCAAGAAATTTTCTTGCCAAAGTAGGAAAAGAAAGGTTTCTGGGAAGCTGGACTAGAGCTAAGATGGAGTGGGGGAGGGACGGCTCCTCTTAAATATATTAAATAATTGAGTATTAGTCATTTTTAAAACTTAGCACAAGTACTTTTCTTTTACATCACATAAAACTAAACTCTAAGAAAAAGTTGTTTAAAGGCCTAGGAACTTCAGGAACTAAGGTGCATTGAATGCAAGCAAGTATAAGCTCCCCCTCCTGGCCCCAACCATAATTACCTAAAAATTAAACATCAAATGTTTCAGAGTATTTCAATGAAAAGATTTAGAGTTGGAGGTCAACTTCCTTGCCATACTGAAATTTCCCAACTACCACCCATAAAGTGAACCTCAACCCGAGACTCCTGGAAGAAGCAGGGTGGAAAACCAACCTGGTGTTCAGGACAATTGTCCGGCGGCCCACCCGATCTGTACTCACCCCTTCCTTCTCGTTCTCCATCAGCACCTTCTTCAGAGCCACCTTCTGGCCGGTCTTGCGGTGCTTGGCTTTAAACACCTCCCTGCAGGTGGAGAGGGAGACCCAAGAGAGCTCATCAGGCTGTTTCTGCAGGGCCCGCCCCTCCCCCACTAGAGGAGCAGCAGCAGCAGGAGAGAAGTGACTCCCGGGAGGGGCTGGACCGAGTACCCAGGGCACGTGGCTACCCCACCACCCCTGTATCTTCATTTTCTTTCGGAGCCTCTGTTTCCTTCCTTCAGTCCCTTCTCCTCATCCAGACGTCTCTTGGAGATCCCGCTCCCTTCACAGGAGCCTCTCTGCAACCCCTCCCTGCCCCTCAACCACCGGCCTCAGGCTCCTCCCAGCCAGCCGGCCCCGTCAGGCCAGGACCCGGTGCGGCGCGGCCCAGCAAGACTAGTGGTCCAGCCGGGGGATCAGCGGCTTCTAGATCACCTCGGGCGGCGCCCCAGGCGTCCCGACGTTGGCCCAGAGGGGTGCAGGCCCAGGGCTTTCATCCCCGAGGGGCCCAGCCTTACCCAAAGGTGCCTTGGCCGATCTTGGCGAGCTTCTCATATTTGGTCACTTCATCACAAAAGGGACACTCCACTGAGTCGTACTGCTTTGCCATGGCCACCTCCAGCGCGCCGCCGCCGCTGCCGCCGCCGCCGCCGCCCCCAGCCGCCGCCGCCGCTGCTCCCGCTCCGGGTCCCGCCGCCGCGCTCCAGGCCCCTCCGCGGCCGCGCCACTTCCGCCTCCACGGCCACTTCCGGCCTCGCGGCGCCGACCCCGCCTCTTCCGTCCTCCGCCCGCCGCCAGGCCCCCTGGGACTTGTAGTTCCCGGGAGGCCAGGGGGAGCCGGAGCTGCAGAGGCGCCTCCGCCGCCGCCGCTGCCCCCGCCTCCGCCACCGCCACTGCTGGCGGCGGCCCCGATCGGGGGTGCGGGGAGCCGGGGCGCCGGGGCTGGGGCTCGGGGCGGTGCGTCCCGCTGCATCGGCCCGGGCCGCTGCCGCTGCCGCAGCTGCTGCCGCTCTGGCGCCCGATCTGGGGCCAGCCGCAGTGCCCTGCTCCTCCTCCTCCGACGGCGCCGCCTCCGCCGGGCTGCGCGGGGTGGCGGGCGGGGGGGTGGCCCCCGAGCCGCGGCCTGGGGGCTCCCTGGCCGGGCCCGGGCCCGGGGCGGCCGGGCGAGGGGGCGAGACGGGAAGAGCTGACTAGGAGGCGGCCCGAGAGCCCGGGAGGGGGCGCGTTATAAAGGGGGAGGTGCCCGGCCTCGCCCTCCCCTCCCCCTCGCCCGTCCCCTCCCTCCTCCCTCCCGCCCTCCGCGGCCGCACCTGACGCCGCCGCCGCCGCCGCCGCCGCCGCCCGCCCGCCCGCTCACTGTCCGCCGGCCGCCCTCGGCGCGTCACCGCCCGCGGCCCCTCCTCCGCCTTCGGAGGTGGGCCCCGCGCTCGACACCTGCCTGCGGGGCGCCCCGCCGCGTGCCTCAGTTTACCCCTACACGCCGGCTGCTGCAGGGAGCCCCTTCCTTCCCGGCTCGGAGTGCCCCCTCAGAGGCGGAGGAGGGAGGCGCGGAGGGAGCGTCTTCGGGGCCTGGGAGGAGAAAACGGCCCCCGCTGCCGCCGCCTCCGGTCCCCGCCACCCGCCGTTGACATGGCAACCGACGGCCGCCAGGGGGCGCGGCGGCACTGGAGGCGGCGAGCAAGCAACGCCCGGGCCTTGTAGTCCTGGAACCCTGGTTCCCTGGGAGGCATGGATGAGACCGCAGGCCTCCCGCCTCCGCTGAGCTGCGCCAGAGCTGGTCGGGCCCGGGTCAGTAATCGCAAAATATAGCTGCCATTGTTTCCAGCACCCGGCTGTGCTCAGGAAGTGCTGGGCGTTCCTGCTGAATCCTGAATCAACAGCCCCGTGGTCAGGGTCACTAACCCATTTTACAGAAGAGGACATTGAGGATCGCAGAGGTGAAGTCATTTGCCCACGATGACACAGTGGCAAAGCTGGGACTCGAACATGGCCTGTCTCTTGATTTAGACGATTTGCAGTTAGGCCAGGAGGTCCGCAGTGGCGAGGCCAGCTGTCCTTATGCAAGCACCAAGCTCACCCTTCACCCAACGAGCTCCCCCACCGGCCCTGTGCCCCTTCCCCGCGTCTTCCTGGCTCCAGGAGCCTTCTCATACTTCCTCCAGCTCTGTGCGATGACCAGCCCCCAGCGAAGCTCTCTTTTCTGCCTCCTCTGCAGCCCTTCAATCTGTCCCCCCCTCTCCAGCCTCTGCCAGTAGGTCCTGAGGCCTGGCGCCCGCAGTCTGGCCTCTCCATCTGGCCCCCTCACAGCACCCACCAGCTCAGCCTGAGGTGCAGTCGGCACTGCGTGCAGGGGAAACCCACATGGAATACTGGCGGCCCTTTCCCATTCGCCTCTCCAGGCTGTGGCCATGCAAATCTCCGTACTGTTTCCAGAGCCTTCCATCTCTCAGGGATGTGCTGCTCTGAGTGCACGCTGCCCCTCTGCGGAGACCCTCTCTACCTGCAGGAAACCCTCCGGTCGCTCCCCAGCTCTTACTCCAACTGTGTGGCCTCAAAGGCTTCTTCTAGGAGGGGCAGGGATGGCTTTGGTGAGCCTGGTGTCCCAAGACGCCCTGTTCTGGGGAAGGGCCCTACCAGGGAGGGACTAGAGGGCCAGGCCGAGGAGCAGGGAGCCCTCTCCTGAGGGCATTGTGGGGCCAGAGAGGGTTTTAGGCAGTTGAGTGATATCTAAGGCCACTGCATGGGTACACTACGTATTAGAAGCAGAGAGGCTGTTGGCTAAGTTGGGGATGGGGACGTAGAGGAGGGAGAAAATAATAATTGTAGTAATTACAGCTTACTGCAGGGGAAAATAAATGGTCCAAGCCCTACACTTAGCACTTGTGGGAATTACCTTAATTCTCACTCAACCATATGGGCTGTATACTATTGTCACCTCCATTGTCTACGTAAGGAGACTGAGACTCAGATGTGACATCACCTGGCCAGTGGCCATACTGGTATTTGAACCAGATCAGTCTGGCAGAAACCCCAAGCACTTCCCCAAGTCAGGGTCCCGCCCATCTGGCCTAGGGGTGGAGCTAGGACAGCACCACTGGTCTGGACGGAAGCACTGGGGGACCTGCCATGGACTTGTGTGGCCTCCACTGTCTGACTTTCAGGCCAGGACCTGCTGCCTTTCCCACAAGCCCTCCCTAAGTCACATCCTGTGGGCAGAGGCCCCAGCAGAGCTTCCGGTGATGTTGTCACCTACACCCCACCATCCTTGGTCTAAACCCCAACATCCGCCAGTCACTTCCCCTTGGGACCTGGGGCCTTCACCCCTCTTTGAGGGAGGAAGGCAGCCAGGCAGGCAGGAGAGGTCGAGAACCCTTCGGGAAACTGCCCAGACTGGCTGGGCCTAGGACCCCAGGTCACCAAAGCTGGCAAAACCCAGGTAGAAGCAAGAAAAGATTAGTGATTTCTCACTGACTCTTTGTTGCTGATTTGAGGGAAATGTTTCCTGCCCCTCATGGATCGGCTAAGCTGGCGAGGCCGGGCACATGGCCGTCCTCAGTAAATGTGTACTGGCCGATCAGCCAGGCCTGAGAGAGCCGCTGGTTCTGCTGCCATCTAACAGGGAAACTGAGGCATGAAACAGGAAAGGGAGCCACTGGACAGCTGATTGACCCTGGCCTGGACCCTCTGTTCTCCTCCCTTGAGTGGGAATGGGGGGGAGTATGGAGGGAAGGAGAAGATGGGTGCACGGGGTGAGCAGCTGGTGCGTCTGGAGAGACAGGCGGTGACGGGATAGGGGGGCACAGGACAGAGGACGGCTATGTGATGCCCATAGCCCTCTAAAACCATGCAAGTTCTGCCCACACTAGCGGGGCACAACTTTACAGCACCCTCTTAGGAGGTTGCTATTATTGGGCTCAAGTTACAGAAGAGGAAACTGAGGCTCAGAGTAGTCCAGGGACCGGCCCAAGGCCACACAGCCAGGAAGCTGTGGACCTGGGACTCAAAGCCATGTCTCTGCTCTCAAAGCCCAGGGACATTCGCCATCATCCTGCACAGCCCCTATGCCAGGCGGCCAGGTCCCCTGAGGGCAAAACTTCTATCGAGCACCTCTGATATGGCCCCTACGTAGCTGGGGGCCAGTGCCTGTGGGTAAGGCTCATTCCTCTCTCAGGAGACTTGAGGTCTGTTTGGAACATGCAAATAAAGACACCGGTAAGTGAAATACGAATGATATTCTCAGCAGAAACATTTTATTTTGCAGCTGTGAGACCATGTGAGGGATGCTGTATTCGCCTCACTTTCCTGATGGAAAACAAGAGGCTCAGAGCAGCGACATGGCTTGCCCAAGGTCATGTAGATGGGCACTGAACTCAGGTTGGCCCAGAGTCTTTGACAACAATGTTTAAGGCCTCCAATTCCTGATAGTGCATGCCCACTCCAGACGTCCCCAAGCTGTCCCTGCTTGAGTCATAGGCTGAGGAGGAGGGGCACAGATAGGGGAGCAGAAATCAGAGCCGGGCTCCTGGGGACACTACAGCTCCAGCCAACCCTGGAGGGAGCAGATGCAGGCAGAAAAGACGGGCTGTGGAGGAAGAGCAGCATTCTGGTGCGGGTCTGGCTAAGCAAGGGACTAGAGGCAGGAAAGGACTCCAGTGTTCAGGGCTGGGAACGCGGCCGGCTGGGCTGCCCTGCGCACAGCTGAGGAGGGCCTGCGGGACAGCCGCCCGCCAGCAGGTCCTCGGCCTCGCTCCCAACGGCCACTCCAGGCAGCACAAAGGGGGCTCTGAGCTCTGCTGAGCACCACACTGAGCCCCATTCATTCTCTTAGGGATGCCAGCAACTGCCCTGGCGCCCGGGCCAAGGTAGGCCCGGCCCTAGCACCGACAAGGCGTCTCCGCCACAACAACGCAGCCTGTCCCTGGCCGGGGTTCCCAGGGCTCCGCATGTGCCCGCCTGCAGGGCTTCCCTTGCCTTGCGCCCAGTGCTCAGCAGCAGCAGCCGGGCCTTGCCGAGGCCCACAGTGTGCTGGCCGGGCCAGCATTTGCCTCTTTCATCCTCCCAACAACCCCAGGAAGTGGGGGCTGTTGAGACCCCGTTTCACAGATAAGGAAACTGAGGCCCAGAGACACAAAGTCTCTTGTGCAGAATCACACAGCAAGTCAGGAGCAGGCCTGGCCAGGAAGCCAGCACTGGCTGATACCACAGCCTTGGCAGTTAGGCCAGGTCACACTGGAAATGCCTCCTGGGAGAGAAGCCAGCACCCACCCTCTGCCTTCCACTAGGAAGACCCCCAGCTCCCGCCGGGCTGCAGGCCCCTCCCCTCTTCTGAGAACAACCTAGGGATGGGAGGAGTGTCAGCCTGGGGCTTAGGACACCTATTGCCTGTCTATCCAGTCTCTGCTCCTTTTTAGCCTCAGTTTCCTCATCTGGGAAATGGGGACAGTGCTAGGATTTGCCTCACAGGTCTGAAGTAAGGATCCAAGTGGAGGGTCTGTGAGGCTTCCAGCTCTGTGCCCAGAACATTGTCGGTGCTCAGTAGGAGGAATTGGGGTTGTACCTCCCTTTTCCTCAAAGACTATGGCCCAGAAACCCCATCCTTTTATTTGAACTTTGAGCATTGGTCCCAACCAGGCCCGTGTGTGAGCAGGACCCTGCTGCCATGGTCTGCCATGGGACGTGTCGCTTCTCTCAGTGCCTTGGTTTCCCCTTCACCCCATCAAGGAGGTTCAGCTAGGTCCTTCCCCACAAAGTCCGTCACCCAGCTGCCAGGTGGCTGGGGAGGCCATGGGCATGGAAGGTAGCACCTCAGGCTCTCCCGTGGGCAACTGGGTTCCAATTCCAAGTGACCTCACTTTTGGGGCCATTATTTTTACGGAGGAAGCAGGAAGTGCCTCATCTCATCCCAGACTCCCTCTGTCACAGCCCCGATGCCAGCCTGGGGTCCAGGATAAACATGCCGATCCTCTGCGAGTTGACCGCATAACCTGCACATATCCTCGTTCTAGAAATCAGGCGACTGAGGCTTCAGAGATGGAAGCAGCCTGTCAGCGGCACACAGAGCTGGCATTTGAAGGCCCTGGTCTTGTGCCCCTCCTCCAACCCCAGCAGCAGCTGACACCCTCTGCAGGTGTCCAGGATGACCTGTGTCAGGGAGGTGGCATTTCCTCACCTCTGTCCTGCATGCAGGCATGCACACACGCTCGGGAAGTCTGTAGGGAAAGCACCAGCTTGGGATTAAGGGGTCTGGAAGGGCGAGTTGTAACCCAGTCTGTGCCACCAACCCGCTGTGCTACCTGGAGAAATCCTTCTGCCTCTCTGTGCCTGAGTTCCACCATCTCTGCCCAGTGGGTGCGGTGGACCAAATCATCCAGCGTCCCTGCTAGCTGACTTGGCAGGCACCAGCTCCATGCCAGGCTCTGCACCAAAAGCTGGACCCTGTGAGGTGGGCACTGCAGCTGGCCCCTGCTCACAAAGAGGAAATGGAGGCTCAGGGAGGTGAGTTCCCTAGCCCAGGATCACACAATGACAAAATGGCCCACCAAGATTTGAACATGGGTATGGGTGGGCTGGAGTCCACAGGCCTAACCACAGCACTCTGCCGTCTGCCGCTGCCAGCCCATCTCCCGGGTACTGGGGCTTAGAATAAACTGCCCTGCACGTAGGCCGGATGCCCCTCGCCTTCCCAGCCCGCTGGCCAGGCCCCCTGACAGCTGTTGGCAGGCCCCCAGCGGCCCCCGGCCGGTGGGCTCCGTTCCCAGAGCCCGTGGTTTGCTCCCAGACCTCCCAGGTCCCATGGGCTTGCAGCCTGCCCCTGCTGCAGAGGCCAAGGAGGAGGTCCACTGGGGCCAGGACCGGGGCGGCCCCAGCCCCCGCCCCCTGCCAAGAGGGTGGAGTGGGTGGGGCTGTGGGAGTTTCACTGGTTTAAAAATACACAGAGGAAGCGAGTGAGAGGGCGAGAGAAGGGGAAGGGGACGTGGGGAGGCACCTCAACCTTCCCGTCTAGATCCTCAAGCCACCACTTGCTGGCTGACCAGCGGCTTTGCACGACTTGCCAAGATGACAGAGGGGCCCAGGAAGGCCAGCAAAAAGTTCAGTGAGTGCAGGGACCGTCTGCGCTGTCCTGCATCCCTCTGTCCCAGCTTCTCTCTGCATCTGTTTCTTCGTCATTGCCGCGTTTCTGTTTCTCTTTCTGTCCACCTCTGTTTCCGTTGGGAGGGCTCTGCCGCTGGGTTTCCTGTGGCCATCTGTCCATCACCATGGCCTGGCATCTCCGTCTGGCTGTCCATGCCTGCACTCCTCCTGTCTGTCCCTCTGCCCTTCTCCTTGTCCTAGGCCCTCCCTCCCCACCTGCCTCCTGGTCTCTCCACTCTGCTGCACCTCTGCTCTCTCTGACCCCACAGCGGTGGGCGGCCTCCACACACCCCACCCCCTGCACCTGGGCTTGGGCTCAGATGGGATGCCAGGTGGGAAGTTGCTGGGACCAGGGAGCGTGGGGAGTGCCATGGGATGCTGTCTTGTGCTCCCCGACCAGCAGTGAGGCTGGGACCCAACCCCTGAGTGGGAACGGAGCCCAGAGCAACTAGAACCAGGCTCTGGGTGAGGGCCGTAGCCACCCATTGCTCTGTCTACTGGCTCTGTCCCTCCTGGTCCTAACAAACTTCTACTGTCCCTGATTCCTTTGACCTGACAGCACCAGGGTAGGGATAGGGTGGTGTAAAAGGGCACAGATTGTGGCTGCATTCCGCAGATGGAAATGCTGAGGCCAGAGACTTGCCTGAGGTCACATGGGCTACAAAGCAGACCTCAATCTCAGTCCCTGGCCTCTGGGCCTCAGTTTCCCTCCCTGCCCCCACTATTATGTCCTCCAGACCTCTGGTGTCCAGGAGACAAAAGCAGTGGCACTGAGAAAGGAGGCAGTTGAGGATCCTCCCTCTGGCCATTGGTGCAAACTCTGTCCCTGGCTTGGCTGCCTAGGGGCAGAGCAGTGGCATTTTCTGACAGTGCTTCCAGGGAGGCAGCCGCCAAGACCAGGTGGGGGTGGGCAGGGCTGGGAAGAAAGCCCCAGAGCACGGAGCCAGCAGTCCAGAGTCCTGGGCCTCTGTCCAGGCTCAGCCATGGCCTTGCTGTGTGACCCTGGGCAGGTCCCTCCTCCTCCGTGGGCCTCAGTTTCCTCCTTTGTCAAATGGGGGCATCCTACCGACATTCCAACGTGGGCGTGAGGCCCCAAGGAGGTGAAGGATGCTGAGGAAGTGGAAAATGCCAGTATCTTTCCTTTTTGCTCATCTGGAGGCGATAGGGAAGTCAGTTGGTGGTGGCTGTGAGGAGGGACGGTCCCACAGCTGGGGGCAGGGAGGAGGGAACTCACACGCACCCCTGCGGAAGCAAGGAGATGGTATCACCCCAGCCCTGCGCCTGAGTCAGGAGTGCGGGCTCAGCTGACAGGAAGGAGAGAATGTCAGGCTGGTGACAACCCCCTCCTCATTTCATCCCCGCCCCAGGTGCACAGAGGCCGGCTGGAACACCCTGTCCCCGCCCCGACACACGCAGGTGCGTGCACACGTCACACGTGCATGTCACCTACCGGCAGTGTGACCTCAGACAGTTCCTTACCCTGCTCCGAATCTCAGCTTCCTCATCTGGACAATGGGAGGTTAAACTTGTGTCATTGTCACTGAGTTGTGCTGAGAATTCATGCAGCATGTTTGGCCATGCACAGGCATTTATCGTCATTGTCATCATCATCATCTTCGCTACTTCTGGTTGAGGCTGTTCTGTGCACCGGGCACCATGTTAAGTGTGCTATTAACATGCTTTTCTCCAATCCTCACACTGCCCACAGTGAGTAGGTACTATAATCTCCATTTTACTGATGTGGAGGATGGGGCTCAGAGAGGTCAAGTCACTTTCCTAAGGTCACGCAGGTAGGATGTGGAAGAGCAGGGATTCAAGTTCAAGGCTGAGTGACTCCAAAGCTGCTACGTTATACCACTTTTGGGAGTGTAATGACAATTAGAGGGCTTGCCAGTGAAGCCCCTGCCCTCTTTGGACCCTCATTGAGTGAAACTGCAGGATTATTATTAAAACATAATAATTTATTATTATTATTGCTGCTAGCATTGTCATTAATTCCTTTTCCTCTCCTTCCCCTCCTGCCAGAGTTCTTCAAGTTCAAGGGCTTTGGGAGCCTCTCCAGCCTCCCTCGGTCCTTCACTCTGAGACGGTCCTCAGCCCCCATCAGTATCCAGTCCCGTCTGGAGCCTGACACCTTAGAGGCTACACAGGATGACATGGTGACAGTCCCCAAGAGCCCCCCAGCCTATGCCCGCTCCAGCGACATGTACAGCCACATGGGCACCATGCCTCGCCCCAGCATCAAGAGGGCTCAGGATCGAAAGGCTGCCCAGGAGGCCCATGAGGTGGGCTCTAAGCCCAACCTTGTACCCCAAGGTCTGTCTGAGCCCCCAGGCTTGGAGGCAGCCAAAGAGGTGGTGGCGATGGCCAATGCCCCCCTGGAGGACACCTCAGCAATGGAACCCAAGCCTCCAGCAGTAGAGGTGGACCCCAAGAGAAAGCCCGAGGATTTTATCGCCGACGTAGAGGAGGAGAGAGCTCCTGGGGGTGCACACCCAGAAAGGTAGGAGCCTACCAGGGGCTGGGGAGGATGGGAGCTGCAGGGGTGGTGTCTCCAGCCTCCTGTCAATTCAGCCCTGGAGAGAGCCCCACAGCGCACAAACCTGGGTTGAAATGAAAACACCTGCACACTAATGCAGTACTTACTATAGACCAGGCACTGTGCTGAGCCCTTCTCTTATAGTGAATACACAAAAGAAAACTGTCAGGAGATACTGTGACTGTTTCCATATCACAGACGAGGAAACAGGTTCAAGAGGGGAACTCACCTGCCATAGTCAGGGTGCACATCTTGCTAATGACAAAGCTACGATGTGAACTGAAACCCACCTGACTCCAAAGCCCTAGGCAGCCTCCACATATGCCTGTGGAAAGAAAGGAAAGAAAACCCGGCTGAGCAAAAGTTAACTCTAGAAGGCCGCAGAGTGAGTCGGTCAGACTCTGCCTCCTGCTGCTACGTCATTGGGACAAGTGTCTTCCTCGCTCTGAGCCTCAGTTTCTCATCTGATAAGTGACATAACAATAGCACGACCTCGTAGGGCTGTGGTGAGGGTTTAAGAATAACATAACCTGTAAAATCGTAACACAGCGCCTGGCATGTTGCATATTATGGGAATGGGAATGCAGTGTTTGTGATTAATAAAACTAGTGCTCTTTTGCCATCCTCGGCTTCCCCAGGCTGCCTTCTCCCGCCATTCCCTCCTAAATTCGGCCTCATTCGGCCGTGGAGGACCAAGGACTGAATGCAGGTGACAAGGTCTGATGGGTCCTGGGGCGTTCAGGTACCCTGAGGTATGAGACCGCACTGGGAGCCAGGCCTGCCCCTCACAGAGAAACTGAGTGTTTGCCGGAGCGGGGCGGGGCGGGGCGGAGAGGAGGGGCGGGGCGAGGGGCGTGGCCGTCCCTGGGCGGCGCGGCGAGCTGTTGGGGGAGCCGGCATTGGAGCGGGCGGGGCGGGGCGGAGGGGGTGTGCTCGGAGGCGTGGCCTTCCCGCCCCAGACACTGGCAGATGAGAAGGGGGCGGGGCCGGGCGGGGGTGTGTCCGGGGCGGGGCGTGTCCTTTCCTACCAGAGGAGGAAGCGATGGAGTGGGGCGGGCGGAGGGGCGGGCCCTGGGTGTGGTCTGTGCGCCAGGCTCCGCCCCCGAGGTCTGCTTCTGAACTCCGCAGCTCCGCGGCGGGAGAAAGGCGGGAGCCGCTGGGCTAAGAAGGTCCCGGGGCTGCAGGCGCGACCGTGGGGAGCCATGACTGCAGTGGGCCGAAGGTGCCCCGCACTGGGGCCCCGAGGGTGAGTGACCGAGCTGGGCCTAGGGAGGGCCAGTGTGGGGCGGGAGAGGTCTAAGGGGAAATCTGCACCCCTTGGACAGCTGACAAGCTCCGGTTCTCAAAGCCAGCTTGTTTTGAGGATAACTCTGTCTCTGCCCTGCCCGGGCACAGCGGGCACCTGCTCATGTACTCCTCACAGCAGCCCCAGGAGAGAGATACTATTATTACCCCCGTTTTATAAATGAGGGAAGAAAAATTTGCTAGCCCAGTTTGACATAGCCAGTGAAAGTCAGAACCAAGGTTTATTTAACTCCACCTTCCTGGCCCATGCTCTTAACGCCTGGGCTGGGCGACACTTTCCCCTCCAGTAGGGCCAGGACTCTGGGAAAGGCGGCCTTGAGAAACCTTGAGAATGCCAAGTCTAGGACCCAGCCTAAGCCTTCCTCCCTTGGGGGCAGAGGCCTGGTGGTCCTGCCAGTGACTCTGGCATCAGGCTTGGCCTGGAGCTGACCAAGAAAATGGAGAGACGCTGTCCCCATCACTGGGCGTGTCTTGAGGGGGTGGGGTTAGCAGACTGGATTGAGCCCCCTGGGACCCAGTGTCTCTCCTGCCCTGCAGGGACCAGTGAACATGTGTTCCAGGAGCCCCCGTCAGCCTCGCTCCTGGAGCCAGGAGAGCAGCCTTGTGTGATCTCAGGCTAGCCCTGCCCCACTCTGTGCCTTGGTTTCCCCAGTAGCCCAGTTGGGGCTGAGATGGTCTCCAGAGATCCAACCAGCTTGGGGATGAGGACATTTGAGAATTGCCAGTGAGGAAGATGGGGCCCTGTTCCTGAGTGTCCTGAAGGGGTTGTCCCAGTGGCTGCTCAGGGAGCAGCCTAAGCTGGGAGACAGTGTCCTTCTCCCACCCCCTGGGAGGCAGGGTGCACCTGGAGCAGGAGGAAGGAAGGGGAAGAGGTGAGGCTGCAGAAGTTTCCTGGTGGCCTGTTCCTTGCTGAGATCATGGGGATGAAGAGGAAGGAGGGAGGAGGAGCCTTTAGCTCCCAAAAAGGAGAGCACCAGCCTAGCCCCCCCCACTCCCCAGGGACCTTTAGCCTTCTGCAGGGAAACAGCAGGTCCTGGAGGGCCCCGGCACCCTCCAGCCACAGTCCTTGCTGCAGAGAGGGAAGCAGGGGCCTGGAGGGGGAAGGAAGGCCCCCAACACTCTCTACACCCACCATCCAGTGTAATTGTCAGGTCAGGGTCCCACTAGGATGGTCACCAGCTAACAACTGGCAAGCACAAATGGGTGTCATCTACTACATGGGCCCTGTGAAGTGGGAGCCTCTCTTTGCTCCATTTTGCCAGCTAGGGGACTGAGGCTTAGAGAGTGGCAAGGACTCTCATGGCATGACAGAGAGAGTGGATGTTGGAGCCTAGACTTGATACCCAGCCTGGCCAACTCCCAAGCCCCAGCTCTTAACCACTAGGTCACTTTTTACCTCCTGCAAGTGACAATCTCAAAGCTTTTTCTACCATTATTTTAAGACTTCCCATAGACCCCTGGAAAGGAGGTAATAGGAGCCCATTTTGTAGATGAAGACATTGAGATTTTGTGAGGCTAATAACTTGCTCAAGATCACACAGTTAGTTGAGTCAGGATTTCATTTATTCTCATACTTACTGAGGTGCAGTTATGCCCCAGACACTGTTCTAGGCTCTGGGAGACAGCAGTGAGCACAGCAGACAAAACCCTGCCCTTGTGGAGCCCCCATTCCACTACAGGGGAGACAGATGACAAACAAGATAAATGAGTTATATGATCAGATAGAAGAGAAAAGATCAATTGAGAAAATTTAAAATCAATGTGGGGAATTGGTCTTGGGGGAAGTGGCCAGTGGTGGCAATTTAGGAAGGTTAGCCAGGAGCAACGTCTCAGTGAGCAAGTGATGTTCGAACAAAAGAGACGAAGGAACAAAGTCTCTTGCTGTCTGGGAAAGAGTGTGCCAGGGCAAGGGAACAGCATGTCAAAGGCCCTGAGATGGGAACATCCTTGGCTTGTTTGGGGAACCACAGAGACCAGGGCGGCCAGAGCAGAGTGAGGTGGGGAGGGCAGGGAGGAAGGGCAGCGAGGCAGGGAAATAGGTGCCAATGAGGCAGGGCCTGGAAAGCCCCAGCAAGGACCTGGCTTCGGGCAAGCCAGGAGTCACTGCCGGCCTTGAGTACGGGAGGCCCCGCTCTGACTTCTGTCTCCCTTTAGGAGACTCTGAGTGCAGTTCTGCTTTAGTGCCTTGCCCAAGTGTCCTTTGCCTCCACTGAGAGACCCAGACCCCCCACACCCCCACTCCCAAGGGGCCATTTGGAAGGAAACTGAGACTTGGGCAAGGTGGCACCCTCTAGAGACACCCTGTGTCATCCCTGCCCCAGCCCTGGTGCCAGGCGCTGAGAATGAGCCAGGATATCCCCTCCCCCGCATTTCCTTTTGGAATGTTGATTCTGGTCCAAGAATTCCCAACTCTCCCCAGAGTCCCACGACCCTCTCGGCCCTGCAGAGTGACGTCAGCTGCCGGGCATCTGGTAGCGATTACCCACCGGGGGAGGGTCGTGGTGGGCCCAGCCCGTGCAGCCTCCTCAGGCTCTGGGCGGCTGGTCCTTGTCTTCTGAAGGGGCCCAGCTGCTCCTGGCTCTCATTTCCTGTGAGGACTTTCTCACAGTCCCCGAGACCCCTGGACGCCTTGGGCTGTGGGAACTGGGCTGGCTTGGGAGAGAGGGGCTGTCTCCCCCACCCCTAGCTGGAGTCACATCCCCTCACCCCAGCCCCAGGGGACCCTGTTGCTGGCTGGGGGACCTGTGTGCGGTGAGGGCGGGGATGGGAGGGGTCAGATGCACCAGCAGCTCAGTGCCCCCCCACTGTGTGACCTTGAGAAAGTCCCTTCTCCTCTCTGAGCCTCAGTTTCCCCATCAGTAAACTGGGGACAAAGACAGCACCTGCTTCATAGAGTCACCGTGAGGACAGGATGAGATGTGGCAGATAGAACTTTTATTCTGGGCTCGGCCCATGGAAGTGCCAGTGAACAGGAGCTGCTCATGCTGTAGAAGAGGAAACCGAGCCAGTGAGAGGGACTTGCCTGGGGTCACATAGCCTCCCTGCAATGGCCCTCTCAAGCACCCCCGAGGGTCCTTCTCTCTGTCCACTCCACCCCACTTCCCTTTCCCGATGTTGGTCTGGGCTCCTGGTCTTGACCGTCTCTGCCCAGCTTCTCCCCATGTCCACCCAGCAGCGGCTCCCGGCTGCCAGGGTGCGGAACAGAGCAGAGAATTTGACATCAGGCCACCCGGTCCTAGTCTGAGCAGCTGTGTGCCCAGCGCCAAGTTAAAAGCTTCAGTTTTCTCCCTGGTAAAATGGGGCTTCCAGATCACAGACGTGCTGTGAGCACTCAGCAAATCAATGGCTTCCCTTTCCCCCAGCAGGTTTTGAGTCTCAGCAGCTCTGGGGGCGCAGATCCTCAGCTCTGCCCTGGGGGAGCCGCCCTTCTGCCCTCTGCCCACAGGGCAGCTGCCCTGTCTTGAGCCCCTGCTGGGAAGCTCGGCCCAGTCAGGAAAGACTGAGGGCCCAGTCAGGAAAGACTGAGGGCTCGGGACAGTGGGGAAGGGGCGGGGTGTGTCTGGGACAATGGTGGCCCATCTGGGTGGGACAGACAAGGCAGGAGATAAAGCCAAGACCCTCTCTGGCAGGGAATCCCACAGGCCCGTGGCTGGGTGACCCGGGAGGGACAGGGCTTTCCACCCGGCTCTCTCTGCACGGGGTTTTTCAGGGCTAAGGAGCACAGAGCAGGCGGGGCTGCTGCTTCTCTGCCGTGAGTGAGTGAGTGAGTGAGTGAGTGAGTGAGTGAGTGAGTGAGTGGAGATCAGGGTGAAGGAAAGAAAGAAACTTCAGCCCCCTGGGGGCAGGATTGGAAATCTCCATGGGTGGAGGCTGGGACGGCAAGGGGAGCCCCACGTGGGCTAGGGCACCTTGCACCCTTCCTTCTCAATGACCCTCATGGCCCCTCTGGGCAGATAGCTGTGAGATGCCCACTTCACACGGGTCATGAATTTCAGAGGGAGGAAGGCAGGGAGTGAGAGAAGTGGATGGCAGAGGTTGGGGAAGTCTCCACTCGAGGCCATGTGACCAGGCCCCGAGGCCCAAGGGATCAAACTGAGGGACAGAGAGAGGGTGAACAGGCCCCCCCCAAGAGGGCAAGGCCACCTGTCATGAAAGAGGGCCGGGTGGAGCAGGGCAGGGCGGCAGCCTCGCCCCACCCCTTCCCCTGCAGGCTCCCTGGGGGAAGCCCACCCTTCCTTCTGCCCCACGGTGGAGGCCCTGAAGGCGAAGCTCAGATCTAATACATGCATTGGGGAAAAAAAGGATAATGGGCTTTAATTACTGTTCATTAATCCAATTAATTAAGCTAATGTATGCAAGAAGTGGTATCAGTTATCAGAACAAATCAGTTAATACAGGCAATTAAAGTGGTTGGTTATTTAAATAATTAATGTCACTGATTAATGGGACTGATTTAGCTCAGTTGTCACTATTATTTATTAATTGATTTCAGCACTAATATTACAAGAGGAGTATCTTTAAAGTCCATAAAATAAGGAATAAATAAATTAATTAGTGGAGCTGAGTTTTACAAATGGATATTTTGATTCCTGGATTTGGTCATTACAACAGGAGAGTGTTCTAGAAATCGCCAAGCCAACTGAGATCTGAAAGCTGAGTAGGAATTACCCTGGCCAAAAGGGAGAGAGGATGTTCCAGGCAGAGGGAACATCATGTGCAAAGGCCCTGAGGCTCTAGGAGGTGGAGCTCTTTGGAGGAAGTTGGAGGAGGCCAGAGTGCAAGGGGAGGGATGAGAGTCTGGGTCTTGGAGGGCCAAGCCAGGAGGACTGGGCTTTGTGCTCAGGGACTCAGGGGGCTGTTGTGACATTCATTCATTCAAAAAAATTTTATTGGGTTCCTGGCTCTGTTCCAGGCAGAGACATAAATCCCAACCCTTGTAGGGCTGATGTTCTAGCGAAGTCAGACAAAGCGCTGTGGGGAGGATTAAACAGGAAGGGAGGTGGGCCTGTTGGGAAGGTCACACTTTGAGCTGGGTGGCTAGGGAAGGCCTCTCTGAGAAGGGGGCGTCCTGGTGAAGACCTGAGGAAGGGTGGGGAGGGAACCCAGGGGATATCTGGAGGAAAAGTGTTCCAGGCCGAGGGAACAGAAAGTGCAAAGACCCTGAGGTGGTTGGGGTGAGCTCAGCAAGACGCTCAGCTGGGCTGGAGCAGTGTGACAAGGACAGCCTGGTTGGACGTGGTGTTGGGGAGTAGTGAGGAGCCTCCTTGGCTCTTGGAGTGAAATTGGGGCCACGCCAGTGGGCGGAGCAGAAGAAATCTGTGATCTGGTTTTCATTTTAACAGGACTGCCGTGGCTGCTGTGTGGGGCAGTGGCAGGTTGCAGGACATGAGAATGGAGGCAGGGAGGCCAGCAGTGAGGTGGTGGCAATAGTCCAGGCGGGTAACGGCAGCTATCATAAGTGGGCGCGGTCACATTGTGTCCTGGGCGTCCCGGAGTGCAGGCTGAGGCGATGGGGTGGAGGTGTGGCCCCGGGCCCTTAGCGTCTGGGGCCTGAGCCTCTGCCCTGGGCACTCCCATTGGCTCTGGCTGCTCTGCCCAGGCCTGACCCTTTGTGCAGGCACCCTGTCCCCAAGGCTCTGCCTCTGCCCCAGAGCCCGAGGGGAAGTGGACAGGAAGCAGGAGGAAGCACTGGGTCAATCCCAGTGTCCTGGCCAATCTGTTCCCAGAAGTGGGAGGATTTCCGGGCCTGAATGGCCGGAAACACCGGGATGAGACACCTCACCCGGGAAGAGCGGGTGGCGGTGGGCAGGGGAGGGTCCCTACGCCGCCTCACTCACGCTGCTGCTGGACAGAGAGAACCCAGTGGCTTTGGAAGCCTGCTGTTGGTGGGCTGCAGCCTGAGGGACTATGCTGAGATGCTAGGAAGGGCCAGGGGAAGGTTCGCAATGAGGAACCTGCTCGTCCTAGAGTGGAGGAGCCCTAGAACGTCAGAACACAGAGAGCTGCCAGACACCTTCTCAGTGAGGAGCCTTTGCCTTCAGGAGCTAGGAGGAAACTCACGCTTTTATTTTTCAGCTTTTTAAAAAAATATGTTAGTTTCCTGTATTTGGGGAGACACTTCCCCAACGTCCGGCCTCCCTTCCCCATTTTGCAGATGGGAAGACTGAGGCCTTTCCCAGCCAGAGAACGTAGACCCCGCCTAGCAAAATTAATAATAATGACAGTGGTTAACATTGGTTGTTTACTACCCGTGCATGCCTTTGAGCAGTATTTATGGAGCTCCTACTGTGTGCCAGGTGCTGTGATGGGCACTGAGGGGTTCAAGGGAGAAAAAGACCGAAGCCAACACCCTCTTGGGAGCATCAGATAATTAGCAGTCAACAGATAAATGTAAAATGGGTATTTCAGGCAGGAATTGGAAAAATTGAAGAAAATAAAGCAGTTGGGGACAGAGAGTGAAGGACGATGGGCTGTTCTAGGTGGGGTGGTCAGGGAAGGCTTCTCTGAGGAGGTGACATTAAGCAGGCCCTGAATGAAGTGGGGGGAGGGGTACACCTCTGGAAGATCTGGGAGAAGAGCATTCCAGGCGGAGGGAACAGCAAGAGCAAAGGCGTGGCAGGAAGAGTTGGCAGGGAGGCCAATGTGTCTGGGACAGAATGGGTGAGAGAGACACGCTGGTGGGGTGACAGGGTGGCCATCGGGCACCACCGGGCACACAAGACCTTACAGGATAGGGACTGTATGACCCGGTTTAGGCCTGTTTATCTGGCATAATAATGATATTTTCTTTACTCCAACAAGGGAAGAAAAGTTCTGGTTTGGATGACAAGTCACATGGCCACGGAGAGGAGTTTAGATTCTGTTCTTTAAGAGACGGGAGCCACTGGACGGTTGGGGTGGTGTGTGTGCCACGACCTGCTTAGCTTGTCACCTTGGGCACCGTCTGGCAGCAGGGTGGGAGCTGACCGTGGGTGACGGTCGACACAGGGAGCCCGTGGGAAGGCCACTGTGCACTCCGCGGGAGACACGAGGCCGCCTGGCCGGGGCAGGGTGGGCCACGGAGAGCAGTGGCCAGGGCGGACTCTGGACGCAGAGCAGCAGGATTTCCTGATGAACTGGGTGTGGGTGTGAGCAGGAGTAGAGGCACAGATGGCCGCCAGGGTTTTGGCCCAATCGGCAGGAAGGATGGAGCTGACCTCAGCCGAGGGGGGGAAGGCGCGCAGGGGGCAGGGGCAGAGGCAGGGCCACGGGGCAGGGGCAGGGGGGATCGGCAGTTCCACTTTGGGTGTGACAAGTTCAAGATGCCTTCAGACTTCCCGGGGGAGGTGTCCAGGAGGCAGGAGGGTTTCTGAGCCTGGTGTCGGGGAAGAAGCGTGGAAGCAGGACCAGGCGGCCTCAGAGGAGGGAAGGCGTGTGAGGTCGTGAGCCGGGGGAAGTGGCTCACGGTGGCCTCTGAGAGGAAGGACGATATTTGTTCAACACCCCGGAAAAACAGACACCTCCAGCCTCTGGGCTCCGTCCTGGCGACGTGAAGGCAGAGGGGATGAATTCTGTAGCCCGCTCCCGCCAGCAGGGGCTCCGCGGAGCAACCAGAGCGGTCACCACGCTGTGCGGGGACGCTGTGCGGGACTGAGTGCAGAGCCCCAGCCTGGCAGCTCCAGTGTGCACAGTCAGGGAGGGTGGGTGGGGATTGGGGTGGGAGGAGGTGGGGGTGTCAGGGAGAAGGAGAAGAGAACCAGGAAGGCATGGTGTCCGGAGTGATTCCGGAAGCAGGCCCCATGTTAAGCATGTAACTTTCATTACTCCCCGAGTCCTCCAAACACGTTGAGGGGGCAGAGGCCATGAGTATCCTTGATTCATAGGTAGGACACCAGGCTCAGAGAGGTGAAGGAACTTGCCCAGGGCTGCACAGCTGGAGAGTGGAGGAGTACCCAGGCCGGCAGAGCACCCCCTTCTGCCTTCAGGATGAGCCCTCTGGGGCCTCGAAGGCCGGGTGCTGGCCCCACGCACATGGGCAGAGACTGGCAGCCAGGGAGCCAAGCAGGCTGGGGACATTCACTTCTTTTCTCTCCTCCTAGGACCACTGGAGAGCAGGAGGCTGGCGGGGACTATGTGAAGGTAGGAGGGGCTGGGCCGTGGGTTGGTCAGGGCACACTGGAGGGTCAGAGCCCTTGCTCAAGCCTTGCTAGGAGCCAGTCCTCACTGTCTGTTCCCAGGAGGAGGCTCTCAGAGTCAAGGCAGCGCTTGGGACCTGGGTTCGCTCTAGCATCTTCTTCCATCGCCTACCATCATTCTCTCCTGGCCCCAAACTCGGGACACCCCAATATGTTTTGTTACCACCAGACCCCGCTCTCCCACCAGCTGGACAGGACCTCAAGGGGGTCTCCATGCAAAGCCTACAGTGCTCCAGTCCCACCTGGTCTGTGAGCACCTACTACGTGCTGGTGCTGGGAGGTGGGAGCCGGAAAGGATGACTAGGTTCTCCGTCACAGATGACGGGCACAGCTCCCATTTAACAGCAGCTTCATGTGTCCTGGGCACTGGGAATGTTGAAAATGCAGTTTTGAAATAACAATGATAATAATAACTACTAAGTAACATTCTGAGTGCCTACTGTGTGCAGACCTGTGCTGGCGGAGGCCATTGACAGCCTCCCTCACCACCGGGCAGGGAGGGCCGCCTGTGCCCATTGGCAGATGGGAAACTTGGGGCCCAGAGAAGTGCAGTGACTTGTGCACATCACACAGCTATTATGGGGAACAGCTGGGATTGCATCCCACGTTGGATGCCATGACTACGGCAAAGCCTTTGGCTTTCTGCCACCAGGAGCTGCCACCCTGAGCCAGGCCCCTGAGCACACAGCAGAGTGCAAAGAGCACCAGGCCTTGCTTTCAAAGGGCTCCCAGTCTTGGGGACATAGGAGAATCAGACAATGATTTCAGCTTGTGGTTTGCAATCCATCAGGTCCAAAATTTATCCCTAGATCTGCCACTTACTAGCCACTGGTGCTGGGTGTGTGCATCAGTGTTTGCCTGTGTGAAATGAGGGTCCCAGGGGTGCTTCCAGCCCAGCGCTGCTCTGGGCTCAGTGAGCCCACGACTGGGGAATCTTAGCCTGGAACAGGGCTGGCTGGCCTGGCTCCTAACCCAGGGACATTTCATCACCCTGAGATGCCACCTGTAAAGGACTGTGTAAGCGACTGGCAATGAGGCAGCTTAGGAAGTGCTGAGATCTGTCCCCACCTTCATCGGAAGGTGCTGATAAGAAGCTGTGGGAGGTCAAGAGGTGGGGGTGGCTTTCAACAGGGGAGTTGGAGTGGGTGAGATCAAGGAAGGCTTTCTGGAGGAGGAGGTATCGAAGCCAGGCCCTTGCAGTTGACCAGGAACATTCACTGACATCTCTCTCTGAATGAAAAGCCAGAAAGGAGACAAAGATAAGCAGAGATGGGTAGGGGGGTAGTCCTGGCAGAGGCAAGAGTGTGGGCAAGTCAGCAAGCTGAGTGAGCCCAGGAAGCACAGCCCAGGGCAGCAAGTCAGGTGGAAGTTCCAGAACCCTTACTCCATAGCAGGAGCAGGAGGAAGGCCATGGGGAGAACCAGCAACAAAGCCAGTGGGTGGACCATGTGGGGGCCATATTTCAGCACCCCACAAATCCCAGCTGCCTGGCAAGGTTCTGAGAACCCTGGGAAGATAGTTAGCTTTATGTTCTTCCTTTATTTTTAGGGGTTAAAAAATGGAGAGTTTTCTTTAACATTATAAAATAACTAGTACCTGCTCACTGGAGCTGGTTCAACAGTCTCCTAAAGGATAAAGTCAAAGGAATGTTAGTGTTATTTTCAAGATTCAGGTGAGGGTTGGAATCAATAGTTTCCCAAGTCCATTCCTACCTTGAGGTACTCATCAGCCTGGCAGGTGCCAGGCTTGGGGCCAAAGCACCCACCACCCTCCTGCCCTCTAGGAGTCAGCTTCTAGAACTCCAGAGTTCTCAGACCATGCTGTGAATCCTTTGATTTCAGGGCAAGGATTCTTTCTTTTTTTTTTTTTTTGGAGACACAGTCTCACTCTGTTGCCCGGGCTAGAGTGCTGTGGCATTAGCCTAGCTCACAGCAACTTCAAACTCCTGGGCTCAAGCGAGCCTCCTGCCTCAGCCTCCCAAGTAGCTGGGGCTACAGGCATGCACCACCATGCCCAGCTAATTTTTCTATATATGTTTATTATTTATTTATTTAATATATTTTTAAAATCTTTATTTACTTCTGGTTTTTTTCTTTGTTTACAATCCGTATGTTCAGAATAATTCACTGAATATGTATTTTTAGCTGTCCAGCTAATTTCTTTCTGTTTTTAGTAGAGATGGGGGTCTCACTCTTGCTGGTCTCGAACTCCAGAACTCGAATGATCCTCCTGCCTCGGGCTCCCAGAGTGCTAGAATTACAGGCATGAGCCACTGCACCTGGCCCAGGGCAAGGATTCTTGATTTTAAGACCATAACATTGCAGGCTTCATGCTCAGAGCTTCAGATGTATTTACAGAAAACAAATAACTGAGGCCCAGAGAGGTAAACTCACTGGCCTGAGGTCACACAGCCTGTCAGAAGGATTTGGACCCCAGGCCTGATTGTTGCAGAATCAGCTCTTGGCATTGAAGAGCCTATGATGCTAAGACAAAATGTCCAGATCTAAGACACTAAACTTGAAAATAGCATGCATTTATTGAGCACTTACTTTATGCCTGACAAGTTGCGTGAACCAGCACAGCCAATGCTCACAAGAGTTTTGTGAGATCAGCACGGGCATTAGCTGCATTTTCCAGATGCATTTTCCACGAGTAAATCCGGCATCCCAGAGGAGGGGCTGTTGGGAGTGGGGGCACCAACGGTTAGGGAAGAGGCCACGAGTTGAGCCCAGTTTGCCTCTCTAACCACTGAGCTTACTGGCTCTCTGCACCCCGGAGCCTGTGCGTCGCACACCCCGCGATTCCTAGCAGAGTCTCTGGTTGCAAATCAGAGATGAGAAATCCTGCGCTCCGGGAGATTTCCTGAGGCCACAAAGGATTCGGCCAAACACATACAGGGTTCTCCAGCTTTAGATACCATTTAACTCAAAGTCTCTGCCCGCTCCGGGTCAGGAAGGGGTGCGGCGAGTTGGGGAGGCAGGAGTCCCCCCTGGCCGGCCCGGGGGTCCCCACCCCATCCCATGACCCACCGTGAAGCTCCCGCCCAGCGGGTCCTCAGCTCCACGTCCCCGGCTCCAGGCAGCCCGAGCGCGCGGGACCGCAGCGCGGGGGGCGAGGGGCTGGGAGCGGGGGGCGGGCGGAGGCAGGAACAATGGCCCCCTCCCCTCCCCTGGCCGGTGGAGGGTGGGGTCTCCCCGCCCCGCCTCCCCGCTCCTCCCCCGACAAGGCGATGAGGTAATCGCGCCGCCGAGAGGCACGCGCAGCCGGTGCCCAGCCCGGTCGGTCCCCGCGCCCCTGCCCCGCGGCCGCCGCCCCCCGCACCGCCCCGGCCGGCCGCACCATGACGGAGCGCTGCAGCCTGTGGAGCGCCCTGTCGGCCGCCGCCTGCTGCTTCTACCGCGGCTCCTTCGTGCAGGTGCAGGTGAGGGGGCGGCTCGGCCCGCCAGGCGCGCGGGGCTGGGACCCCCGGGCGCTCCGCCCGGCCCGAGCGCCGGGAGCCGCAGGCGGGCGGCGGGGCCAGGGGCGGGCCGGGCCGGGCCGGCGGACTGAGGAGGGGGCGGGGTCGCCCGGCCTCACCTCTGGGTGCCGGCGCTCCGCGGGGCGAGGGTCCGGCGGCTACTCCTGGGACTCCGGGCTGCGGGGATGCCGGTCCGCTCCTGCCTCCGCCGCAGCAGGGAGCCGCGCCGGGGCATGGGCACGGGGCGAGGGGGTCCCCGGCGCCCTGCCGCTCCTCCGGCCAGCACTCTGGCCCTTGCGGCTGACCCGGGCACCCTGGCTCCCCATTGTACCGGGGCGCTGAGTGAGGTGCAGGAAGCTGGCGGAATGCTGCGGGTGCCAGGGTTGGGGACAGAGCGCCCGCCACCCTCCTGCCCTCTAGGTGGGCTAGGGCATGCCCGGGGCGCGGGTCTCTCTAGCCCAGCTGGCCGGCAGCGCAGGACGGCGACGTGGCGGCGAAAGAGTTAAACGGAAAGGGGTGGAGGGGAGGACCCGGACCCGCCTCTCTGCGGAGCATCTTCTGGGGTTGGCATTGCCTGGGGTTGGACACCGAGGGGAGCTGGAGGGGGTTGCTGGGCGCGGGCTGGTGGGAAGGGGTTAAGACCCTGGCCGGGGGTCTCCGCGCTGCTGCCTCCCAAGTCCCCTGGGAGACGCCGGGCGCGTCACCTCTGCGCTGCCCGGGCTCACACACGCTCGCAGCCCGCCTGAATGACTGCCCGCCGGCGGAGCGCAGCATCCCGCACCGGCCAATCAGGCGCGCGCAGGCCGGGAGGCGGTGAGATCATCTCTGGCCAATGGCGGGGCGCCGAGCGCAGGGATGCTGCATTCGCACCCCAGCCCCCCCAACTCCTGGGAGCTGGGGACCCCCAGGCTGAGGGTGAGGAGGAGGGCACAGGATCCTAGGGGTCCTCACCCTCGGGTGTGTGGGAGGACCAAGTTGGTCCCCTCAGACTGTCTCTGACCATTGATTAGGGCTGGGAAATAGGGGCCAGTCTCCTGTTGGGGATGAGGCTACCCAGGACCAGAGAGGGGAAGAGACTTGTTCAAGGTCACACAGCGGCAGTCTTGGGGCCAGGCTCTTTAGTGCGTGGCCTCCTCCCCTTCTTGCCCCAGGTCCCTCTGGCTCCCTCCATGGATTTGGGGGTCACTCAATTGCACACTTTTTGTCAAGGAGTAGGAAGTCAGAGGGCTGGGTCCTGGCTCCCTTTTCCCTGAGTCCCCCTCTTCCCCCAGGGTTTGGTGTGGTACGAGGGGCGGTCTAGGCTGGGGTGAGCTCTGCAGAGTGAGAGGGAGAGCAGCCGGGACCCGTGGAGAAGGGCAGGTGCCTGAGAAGGCCCAAATCTCAGCCCAGCCGGGCCTCTTCGGCCCTTTGGGGTGTCGGTTCTACCCTGAGCAGAGGTTGTGTGGAATCCCCATGCCCAGGCCCCACCTTTCCCCTGACACCTGCCCAAACCACCCTCCCACCATCTGTCCCCAGAGCCCTGCAGGCTCCTTAAAGCTGACATTTTCATGGACCTACTGCCAAGCCGCTCTGCCCCAGCCTTGCCCACTCAGAGTGTCCCATTGTCCTCCCAGGATCTCGGCCTGGAGTCCCGCTGGCCCATCTGCCCTCTTGCCCACCCCAGTCAGTGGCCATCTTCACACCCTCTCTCTCCCCAGGCCCCGCCCTGCCCCGCCACCGTCTACAAATCACTAGGCTGCTCTCCGAAAGGACAGCAAACCTGCCCCAAACACAAAGCCTTCGGTGGCTCTGCTGTCATCTCTGGGCAAAGCCCAGCTCCCCAAGGCAGCCTGGCAGACCTGCCACGCGTGCTCTTGCCCTCACAGCCCCTTTGAAGCCTCTCCCCATGTCCTCGCCACCCCGCCCTCGGCTCTGCCCGCAGGGCCCCGCCTCTGCAGCTCTCTCCCCACAGCTCTTCCCTGCCCGGAGGCTTTGCTCCGCACGTCCAGTCCTTCAGGCCTCAGTGGAAACTGTGCCTTTTCAGGGAAGTTCTGCCTGACTTTGTCCCCTGACTGGCGGGGGCAGGGGGTGTCCCTGCCCATCTCTGAACATTCAGAAAACCTGGAATTGATGGTCGTTGTCTGCATGGGCTCCCAGGGCCACTGTCCTGCTCACCTCGGGACCCTCAGCCCCGGCACAAGACCACAGTGGGGCTTAGCTAATATTTAATGAATGGAGTCAGAGATTCTAGATGTCTCTGAAGCTGGGAATCACAGTGTCGTGGAGCAGTATAGATTGGGGTAAACCAAGGCAGATGCGGGAGTAGAGGGGTGGAGAACAGAGCTGCAGGGGTAGGAGATGAGACCTGTGGAAGCTCTGAGGTGGCAGGGAGTGGGCTAGGGGACCCTTGGACTCTGGGGAGCAGGGGTCCTGGGGAGAGACTCATGTGGGATGAGGCCGGGCCCTTTAATGCCCACCCCCGGTCTGTTATGCCTTCCGGCCAGCACTGGGGTCTGTCTTGGAGCAGCCGTCTCTGGGGCCTGGAGCCGGGGGAAGGGAGAGGAAGGACAGTCTCTCGTCCTTGTCCTCGCAGTGGCGAGGATGCCTGCGTGCTAGTTGCTGTGCTCTGGGGCGCTATCTCCTTTCAACCTCACAAGGAGGTGAGGCAGGTTCTGCCATCATACCCATTTCACTGAAGGAGAAGTTGAGGCCCAGAAAACTCACACCGCACAGCCAGGATTGAGCTGGGCTCTGTCATAGGGGTGCACCTGACATTGGGGGCTCCCCTACCCCTTTCTCTAGGGCCCCTGGGATTGGTCAGCCTCCAACCTCAGCCACAGTAGCAGGAGACCAGGAATCGTCCCTTTGGGCAGGTGGAAGGTGACCGTGAGCTTCCCTGCTGGGCTGTGGTTTCCCTATCTGGCAAGGATTGCTCGGGTTTGCAAGGAGACTTGCAGTGGAGATGTCTGCGTGGGGGCCTCTGTGTCGCTGTCTGTGGTGCCTTCCCCCCTTCCACTGTCCAGTTCACCACGCAGCATGTGTCCTTGTGCCTCAGCTCTGTGGTTTTGTTCGTGCCTTTGCCTTCCTTACCTCCAAGATTCATCTGCAGAAATCCTCCGTCCCCCACCTTCAAGATCAGTTTAGTGTCCCTGGTGCATAATGAGTGTTTTCCTATTGCCATCTCCTCCAGGAAGGCTTCCCGGAGCCCCACACCTCGCCCAGACTTAATCCCCTGCCTTCTAAAAGCCACCAGCCCCTTTGCCGCTGTCCAGTACTGTGGTGCTGACCGCAGTCTGCTCGGATGCTTATGTTGCTGTTGCCTCTCCTCAGCCTAGGGGCGTGCTCGAGGACATGGCTTGGTTTATGTGTCACCACCTCTACCCCTGGCACATAGCACAGGGCCCAGAATGCAGTAGGCATTATTTAGTGGAATTATATAAAATTTCCTTACTCCTGCTGGGACAGGGACCCCTAGGTAAGGACCTTTCTGGCACCTGTGCCTCAGTGTTCCTAGAGTCCCAGGATACAAGTTCACGTGGGGTTGGGTGAGGTTGGGAGGGAAGGAGGAAGGGGACTTCGAGTCGGATGCCAACCCTTGCTGTCTCCCACCCAGTTCTCCAAGGAGAAGTACATCCTGGACTCATCACCAGAGAAACTGCACAAGGAGTTAGAGGAGGAGCTCAAACTCAGCAGCACAGACCTCCGCAGCCATGCCTGGTACCATGGTCGCATCCCCCGAGAGGTGAGTGGGCCCTGAGCTGGGACCTCAACCCTGGACCCTTCCACCCGCCACCTCAGCCAGCCCCAGCCCTGGCCCCAGCTACCAGGGAGGCTCTGAACTACTGCTTGGCAGGTTCAATCAGAGTGGACTGGAATGAGGTCTAGCTCTGCCATTTGTTTACTGTGCGACCTTGAACAAGATGCTTCACCTCTCTGAGCCTCAGTTGCCTAATCTGTAAAATGGAGGCTAATAATAATACCTACTTCAAAGGGTTGTCGGGAAAATTAAATGAAATAATGCAGATAAAGTACTTAACATAATGGCTGACACCAGTGAGCTCAATGAATGTTGGTCTTTGTTGTTATTATTATCAGTGTTATTGTTACTGGTCTATGCATCCGTCTCTTGTGTGTTTGGTTAGTGAGTGTCAATCTTTGGGTTACTCACTTTTGGCAAAGTTGAGTTTTGGGGCCGAGGTGACTTTACAAGCCACATACTTGGGCCGATAGATCACCTGTCTCTTCTTTCATTCGCACTATAAATCTTTGCCAAGCAATCTTTGTCGGGACATGTGCTGGGCACCAAGGATGCAGAGATGGAAGAGGAGGTAGCTTCCCTCGAGGGCTTGTGGCCTGTGGGAGGGTGGTGGCTGACGGGCAAGTAGACAGAGCCTAGTGGGAGAAGTGCAAGAATGGAACGCCCAGCAGGAATATGGGCGAGCCCTGAGGAAGGGGCACTGAGGAGGGAAGCCTTTGTGAGATGAATAGGAGTTCACCAGGTGGGCAGGACAGGAAGGGTGTTCCAGGCAGGAAAGCAGCTGGAGCATGCGAAGGCTCAGAGACACGCCAGAGCGCTGGGTAGTGGGAGGAATGGGGACTGGGCATTGGCTCTGCCCGACAGGAACCCCGAGAAGGGGTGAGTCTGAAACCGGGGTCTCAGATCGCAGCAGCCCCTGCTCCTCTGGACCCTGGGGCTCTGCGACTTCCCTTTTCCAGGATACGTTCTTCCGTTCCGAGACCTCTGTGCCCCAGACACAGGGCCTCTGGCTGAGGTGTCCCCTCAACCTTGGCCGTTGCGTCCCTGCTCTCGAGCTTCAGATGTCAGGTGTCTCTGTTCACTGGGTCCTCTCTACCTGGCCTGATCTTGGTGCCCCCCGATCCCAGGTTGCTGTGTCCCCCAGACCCTGCGTCTGGCCCTCTCCAGCCTAAGCTTGCTTCCTGCGGGTCTAACCTAACCGTGCCTCCTGCAGGTCTCGGAGACCTTGGTACAGCGCAACGGCGACTTCCTCATCCGGGACTCGCTCACCAGCCTGGGCGACTACGTGCTCACGTGCCGCTGGCGCAACCAGGCCTTGCACTTCAAGATCAACAAGGTGGTGGTGAAGGCAGGGGAGAGCTACACCCACATCCAGTACCTGTTCGAGCAGGAGAGCTTCGACCATGTGCCCGCCCTCGTGCGCTACCACGTGGGCAGCCGCAAGGCTGTGTCGGAGCAGAGTGGCGCCATCATCTACTGCCCCGTCAACCGCACCTTCCCGCTGCGCTACCTCGAGGCCAGCTACGGCCTGGGCCAGGGCAGTGGCAAGGCCGCCAGCCCCGCCAGCCCCTCGGGCCCCAAGGGCAGCCACATGAAGCGGCGCAGTGTCACCATGACGGACGGGCTCACTGCGGACAAAGTCACCCGCAGTGACGGCTGCCCCACCAGGTCAGCCAGGCCCTCACTTGTTACATGGGGGTGTTAGTAACAAGGGTGTGGTGAGAAAGGGGAGGCCCAGCCACACTGACCTGGGGTGGAATGACTCTCCTGGAGCCTCCTTGTGCAGGGAGGAACAGGAGGATGGTCAGGCGGTACTGTGTGGGTGTCTGACACACAGGGTTTGCCGGGAGGCAGACCTAGGTTGCAGTCCCAGTTCTGTCACTTGCTGGCTGTGTGCCCTAGACCCTGTCCCTCCTCCTCTCCATGTTCCTACCCATAAGGGCTCTCACTCTGGCAGTGCTCTCTGGCCCAGGGGGAGCTCTGAATGCTGCCCTGAACCAGGGAGGGGCCTGGTCCAGCCCCTCCTCACCCCGCCCAGCTAGGCCAAGGCCCGCATCAGAGCACAGGGCCTTGCAGCATGGAAACCACAGCACAGCAGCGTCTTAATGACACCTGGTTGATTCCAGGCTGGGTAGGGCCAGGCCCCAGATCCCAGGAAAAGCCACAGCAGCTGATGGTTCCTGAGGTCCTGCTATGCTCTGTGCCCAGTCCCATCAGTTCCCACATCCCCCTGGAGGGTGGGGCCTGCTCAGACCCCCACTTTATAGATGAGTGCATAGGCTTAGAGAGGGGAAGCTGCCTGCTGGAGAGTGGTAGGATCAAGACTCAAACCCAGATCTGTGGACTCCAAAGTCTGTGCTGCTAATTTCTGGCTGTTTGCGAAGAGATCTGCCGTCCTGTGCCACAGCACTCGGATAGGCCCTCATGGCCTCATCTCCCTGGGCCTGGGTTGAGTGCTGCTAGCCAAGGAATTGATGGGTGGACTTACCCTGTGGGCAGCAGCTACTTGGCCTGTGGTTTGGAACCAGTGAATATAATGGTGCCAGGATCCACAGGCAGTGTGTGCCTGAGACGTCCTGAGCATGGTCTGGGAACAGCGAGGAGGCACCGGGACAGCAGGCCTAGCTCCCTGAAGATCCCCACTCTTCCTGCTGGCCCCCCTCTCCTCAGACAGTTCTCCAAGTTGGGGAAAAGGTTCCCAAGGAGGGGGACAGTTGTGCAGGTTGTGGACTGCACAAAGGCTTCTGGCCTAGGGCCAGTGGGGAGCTAAAATCAATCCTGGCCTCTGCTTATCAAGCTGAGGGCACTAGTGAGGGGCTGTGTCTGCCCGGAGAGTGGGTGCAATTGGCTAATTGATGCAAAAGCACCTTGTGGGGTAGCGGAGTTCTGACATGTACCCCATTCCTGTCCTCCTGGGGACAGGAGAGAGACAGAGGGGCCTGAGAAGCCTTGGCTCAGCTGGGTGCCCCCAAGCCCCCTTTCCCTGGGCTGGTCCACGCTGTGTGGAAGGGGAATGCTGGGTGGAGACGGAGAAGGCAGAGCAGTGTGGAATGTGACTGGAAACCAGGCAGGCGGCAGCGGCGTGTGCCGGCTGGGAGCCTCGGGCCAGGGTTCCCAGCTCTGCTCCCCACTCGCTGTGCCTCTCCAGCCCAGCCCTTCCTCCTCCGGGCTTCAGTCTTCATGCCTGCCAATGGAGAGGCTTTTCTGCCTCTGAAGTTCACGGGGCAGATGTGGGGGTCCCAGAGGCGGCTGTGGCCCTGCCCTCGGGCTCCTGCCCATGAAGGTGTCTGCTCCACAGCACGTCGCTGCCCCACCCTCGGGACTCCATCCGCAGCTGCGCCCTCAGCATGGACCAGATCCCAGACCTGCACTCGCCCATGTCGCCCATCTCCGAGAGCCCCAGCTCCCCTGCCTATAGCACCGGTATGGCTAGCCACACGGGGAGGGCAGGTGGGGGGACCTGTCGTGGCGACTTCCAAGGCTGATGGGTGGCTATGTGTGCTCCTGCCTTCCTTCTGAGGCACAGCCTTTCCTGAGAGCAGTGCCTGCGAGAATTCACACTGAAAACCTGCTAGCAGAACTAGCGACGTACACACACGCGTTAAACCCATGTTCACTCAACACAACTCATTGAGCCCCTAGCAGGTGCGGGGCACGTGCACGGAGTGGGTTCCCAGCGTGTTTTCCAGAAGCGAGGAAGCCTGCTGGAGACGCAGTGTGTTGGGACCAGGGTCAGATGCTGTGAAGGACACTCGTGTGACAACACAGCCCCCACTGGTCAAGCTCCCACCTGTGGTGGGGTGCCGTGCTGGGCCCTGCACTGGCTGGGCCTCAGGTGACCTAGTGTAGCCCTGGTTCCAAACGGCTGGCTCAAACCAGACTAGTTACACCTTGCTCTTTGGTTTTCTTAATAGACTTTATTTTTTAGAGCAGGTAAAGGTTCACAGCAAACTTGAGAGGAAAGTACAGAGCACGTTCTTTCTCATAAATACAAAGAAAGTTTCTCTCATAGAAAAATGCCAGGAGTTCATTTCTGGAAAAAAAAAATATTTTCAACAGTCAGAATCGTCCATGTGGCAGACGAAGTGTCCATAGGGGGTGGGGCAGGAACCTCTGTCTGGGAAACACTTTCCCCATTGAAGAGTTGCTGTCTGTGTGGGTTGTTACAAATCCTTCCCTAAGTAGAGCTGCCACCTTTGTCATAGCTACAAACTTGCCTTCCAAACAACACCCCTGAGTGTAAAAGTTAAAACTACTTGCAGGAAATGATTTATAGGACAGTTTTGGAGCCAGGCATAGTAAAGCAGCCCAGACGCCAGGGCTTAAATCCCAGCCCTATCGTTTGCTGGCTGGGTGACCTTGGGCAAGTCGGTTTACCCCTCTGAGCCTCAGTGTTTTCATCTGTAGAATGAAGACCATAAACATACTTCACAGGATGTTGAGAGGGTTAAATGAACTTTTGCACAAAGAAGGATCTTGCAAGCGCTAAGGATCAATAATTATCACCTCTGATTTGGGGTGATGGTTTTACTGCTGTGACTAGTACATGTCCAGCACGTCCAGCCCGGGCACACAGGGTGTACCCACTAAGTCATTAGTACTAATTCGTGGAGAAATGATTCTGTGTGACACAGTGAACTCCAGCAAGTGCTTAGCTTCCCTGGATCACGAAAACCTCCTCCAAGTATTTAATAGTTCAGTGGTGGCCCGAGGCCACGGCAGCCTCAGGGTAGGGCTGTACAAACTCCTGGGGCCCAGGAGTTTCAGAGCATCACCACGGGCTGGTCAGTTTGCCAGAGTCTTCCAGGCCTGGCCTCCATCCACGCAGGGAAGTGGAGATGTCACCCCTGTCGGGAGGAGGGAGGCTGTCTTTGTGGGTGGCTGGGGAAACCTCACTTTGGTGCAAGCTGCGGTAATGAGTCCTTTCTCTCCACCTCTCTGCAGTAACCCGTGTCCACGCCACCCCTGCAGCCCCCTCTGCCACAGCACTGCCTGCCTCCCCGGTCACCCGTCGCTCCAGTGAGCCCCAGCTGTGTCCCGGAAGTGCCCCAAAGCCCCCTGCGGAGTTGGACAAGGGCCCTCATGCAAGCCCCTCCCACACCCTCTGCAAGGCCTCCCCGTCACCATCGCTAAGCAGCTACAGCGACCCAGACTCTGGCCACTACTGCCAGCTCCAGCCTCCCGTCCGTGGCAGCCGAGAGTGGGCAGCGGCTGAGGCCTCCAGCCGGCAGGCCAGGAGCTATGGGGAGAAGCTAAAGGAACTGTCAGAAAATGGGGCCCCCGAGGGGGACTGGGGTAAGACCTTCACAGTCCCCATTGTGGAAGCCACCTCTTCCTTCAACCCGGCCACCTTCCAGTCACTACTGATCCCCAAGGATAACCGGCCACTGGAGGTGGGTCTTCTGCGCAAGGTCAAGGAGCTGCTGACGGAGGTGGATGCCCGGACGCTGGCCCGGCATGTCACCAAGGTTGACTGCCTGGTAGGTGCTGGGTGCATGCTGGGGGGGGGGGGCGCACCTCTGTCCTCTGCCTTTGGGACAAGGGTCAAGGTGGTGAGAGGCTGGCTGCCAGTCCCCAAGTATAGTGAGTGGGCCTGGATTCTGGCTTCACAGCTGTCCTTTACCTGCTCTGACTCCGGGGTGGTCATTTTGCCTGAGTTTTGCCTTCATTTTCATTTTGCCTTCATTTTCTCCTTTTAAAAGGAGAAAAACAAGATATTTAAAGGAAATTCTCGTTTCCTTTAATTGTCAGTTTGGCACTAGAACTGGGCAGACCTGAAGCATGGTGTCTGGCTCCCCAAGGCACTGGAGGGCACTTCCTGAGTGTCCCACAGTGAGCCTGGTGAAAGTCAGCAGCCGGACCAAAGAGTAGAAAAGGCCCAACTCCTCACGCCCCCTAGTGGACAAAAAAGCAAAAAAATATTACCTGGCCCTTACATTGTCAATGCGTGGGCCTTTGCTTTGTATGCGTCTTTGACCATCAGGGGACCTCAGTTGGCTCTGTGGCTCAGTTTCTCCCTTTGCAGTTTGGGAGGAACTGATTACTTGGTTACACTGGTCTCAGAACTCAGGAAGCAAGAAAAGAGACGAGGCAGAGAGGTTGCTCCATGAAGGGTACTGAGCGAGAAGGGAGGAACCTGGGTTCTAGGCCCTCTATGTGACCTTGGGCAAGTCCATTCCCTCCCTGAGCCTCAGATTTTCCCTCTGGAATACGGGTGTCCTCGTCCTTGAACTTAACTGAATATTTAACATGCCAGACACCTCTGGGCATTTCCCCATTTATCCCCGCCATTTCTCAGATGGAGAAACCGAGGCTCACTCAGGGAGGTGGAATCGCTTGCTCCGTGTCAGAGGGTTAGCGGTGGAGCTGGGATTCAAACCCGCCTCCCAGCCAGGTTACTCCCTTAGATAAAGCCCTCTGACTCCCAGATGGTTTGGGCCAGCCCTGGCAGGAAATTAATCAGCCCTCTGGGCATCTTTGCAGGTTGCTAGGATACTGGGCGTTACCAAGGAGATGCAGACCCTAATGGGAGTCCGCTGGGGCATGGAGCTGCTAACCCTCCCCCACGGCCGGCAGCTGCGACTAGACCTGCTGGAAAGGTAAGGGGCACACCGGCGCAGGGGGGCTCCCGGGGAACCCGGCTGCCTCCCGCCCCTCGCCGTGGCCGGTGGGCCAATCAGTCTCTCAGCCCGGCTCCCAGGGCTGCTGGCCACGCCTCCTGTCCCACGGACCAATCGCAACCTCTCGATGATAGTCGCGCTAAGCAATCTTGGCTTCCCCGTGTCTGAGTGTACCTCCGCGTTCGCCTGCCTGTTTCATCCCCTTGACCAATCATCCCTTGTCCGTCAGCCGCTGCCCCGCCCGCCAGCTCGTTCATTCTTAAAACTGCTCGGCGGGTGATTCCACTGATCAATCGCAAGCCCCGCCCTGCGCCCTGGCCCCGCCCCCGGCTCGTACTGACCAATCAGGAGCCCGTGGCCTTGCTTTCTGTCTCTCGGGCCGCGCCCCGAGATCTCACTGACTCTTGGGAAGCTCCCGCTGTGGCTCCGCCCTCCGCCCCTCCCGCGGGCCCCCCGCCCCGACGCAGCCCTCGGCCCCGCCCGCCCTGACCCCGCCGCTCCGACAGGTTCCACACCATGTCCATCATGCTGGCCGTGGACATCCTGGGCTGCACGGGCTCCGCCGAGGAGCGGGCCGCGCTGCTGCACAAGACGATCCAGCTGGCGGCCGAGCTGCGGGGGACGATGGGCAACATGTTCAGCTTCGCCGCGGTCATGGGTGCCCTGGACATGGCCCAGGTACTAGGGGGCCCGCGCAGAGCCCGGCCGCTAGGCGGTACGGAAGAGCCCTGGGGTGCGTTCCTCTGGGCTGGCCGAGCATCACGGAGGAAGAGCTTTGAGTGTTTCTAGGCAGCGTTGGTGAGAGTAACTGGGAGAACTGAGTTCTCCAAGTGCTGACCAACATCAAGTTCTTCCCCTTCTCTGGGCCTCAGTTTCCCCACTTGTAAAATGAAGGAGCATTATGTGAGTTTAGAGAATAAGAAAAAAATGGCTGTCGTTTAGTGAGCACTTAGTGTGCTAGGTGCTACATTAAGTACCAGCACTAGTTTCTCAAAACAATCTCATGAGGTAGGTGCCTTTATTGTCCCCATTTTACAAATGGAGCAGTTGAGACAGGGCAGTCCTTGCCTAAGGTCACGCGATCAGAGGGTGAAAGAATTAGGACTTGAACCAGGTCTGGCTGACGTCTGAGCTGAGCCTCACTGCCTCTCTGACGCCTAATAAATAGGGACGACAGAGTCCCAGAGGCAGTGCCAGGGTTCAGCTCCCAGCTCTGCCTCTTATGTTCAGAACAACCTCTGGCAGGTCATTCCTCTCTCTGAGCCTTAGTCCCCTCATCTATAAAATGGGTTGTTGTGAGGGCTTCACGGGAGACATGAAAGGCAGTCAGCATTGTCCCTGGTACATGACTGGTGGCCATAATAGTGATTATTATCCCACATCTGGCTGTCCACCCAGCGGGGTGGCCTGTGGCCAGCAGCCCCTGTAGGCCCCTTCCCTGGCTGTCCTCTCACAGTCTGGTCTCCCCAGATTTCCCGGCTGGAGCAGACATGGGTGACGCTGCGACAGCGACACACAGAGGGTGCCATCCTGTATGAGAAGAAGCTCAAGCCTTTTCTCAAGAGCCTCAATGAGGGAAAAGGTACCTCCCCTGCCTTGCTGTGTGACTTTGGATGGGTTCCTGCCATCTCTGGGCCGGCAGAGACTCTCCCAGTGTGGATGAGATGCTGAGAGCTTGCTTGAGCTCTGTGCAGGCTGCTCCCCCACCTCAACCCCAGCCCAGTCTCCACACCGGGCGACTGTGTACGCTTGGCCAGGTCCAGGCTCAGCCCTCGGGGCTGGGCCAAGGCTTTTGCATTCAGCCGAGGGAATCCAAAAGGAAGGGTTTGTCCCAGGAGTCAGGAGCCCTCAGGCTGTCTCTGGGACCTCAGGCAGGCCCCTTTCCTCCGCACCTCAGCTGTGGGACTGCAGTGGACAGCGGGGTCCTCCAGGGTCTCTGAGCACCTGCTGTCCCCCTCCCTGCAGAAGGCCCCCCGCTGAGCAACACCACGTTTCCTCACGTGCTGCCGCTCATCACCCTGCTGGAGTGTGAGTCGGCCCCAGCAGAGGGCCCCGAGCCCTGGGGCAGCACGGAGCATGGTGTAGAGGTGGTGCTGGCCCACCTGGAGGCTGCCCGGACTGTGGCGCACCACGGAGGCCTGTACCACACCAACGCTGAGGTCAAGCTGCAGGGTGAGTGCCGGGTGGCATCCGGGGGTCTGGTGAGCTTGGGTCTCCCTCCACCTGACTCACCGTTCCCTCTTCTCCCTCCCTCTGTCCTACTTGTCCCCGACTCCTTTCTCTCATCTGTTTCATTCATTCACTCATTAGCTGAGCAAGCCATTGTTAGTGTCAGACGCCAGGTGGGGGTGGGGGGACACAGAGATGATTCAAAGAGCACCTTTGACACATAGGGTCTTAGCTTCAGTGAGCCTCAGTGTTCTCATCTGTGAAGTGGGCATCATGTAGGCTACTTTACAAGGCAGTCAGCCTAGGGGCCTGGAGCTGAGACAGACCTGCCCAGTCTTCATGGAGCTCAGTCTAGTCGAGAGGTAGACCTTCCTTTTGTGAAAGGAACAGAGAGAAAGTGGCTTCAGACAACCTCTCTTATAATGTGTTTGGCATTATTTAAGTCATCATTGTATTGATTGTAAACAAATTGGAAATTAAAACTGAGTAAAATAATATTTTTAAAAAATTACCCTCAATTTCTCAGAGGTAAACACTGTGAACACATTCTGGTGTTTTTCCAGCCTTTTTCTTTTTCAGAAAGAAAAAATATATATATTTTTATATTTAATTATAAAATGTATATATTTCTTAGAAAAAAATCTAGAACTTACAGAAAAATACAAAAAAGAAAAGAAAAATCACCAAGATGTTAAAAAAATTAACATTAATATTTTATCTTCTAATCATTTAAAAACTATAGACTGCATAGCCAGGCATAGGGGCTCACACTTGTAATCCTAGCACTTTGGGAAGCCAAGGCCGGGAGGATTGCTCAAGCAAGAGTGAGACCCCATCTCTACAAAAAATAGTAAAAGTAGCCAGGCATGGTGGTGAGTGTCTGTAGTCACAGCTACTTGGGAGGCTGGGGCAGGAGGATTGCTTGAGCTCAGGAGTTTGAGGTTGCAGTGAGCTACGATGATGCCACTGCACTCTAGCTAGGGCAGCAGAGCAAGACCCTGTCTCAAAAAACAAACAAACAAAAAAAATTATAGGCTACAAATAGCAAGACAAAGGTGCTAAACTATGTGGTCGTGTTCATCAACAAACCTTGTTAGATCTCTGGCAGGGCTGGGGGAAGGTCCCACTGGGCAGGCCCCCAAAGGATGTTGGGGCTCTGGGTGGGAGCTCCAGCCTCCCAACCTGGATGGTGGCCCCTGACCCTGTGCCTCTACACTGTAGGGTTCCAGGCCCGCCCGGAGCTCCTGGAGGTGTTCAGCACTGAGTTCCAGATGCGTCTCCTCTGGGGCAGCCAGGGCGCCAGCAGCAGCCAGGCCCGGCGCTATGAAAAGTTTGACAAGGTCCTCACTGCCCTGTCCCACAAACTGGAGCCTGCTGTCCGCTCCAGTGAGCTGTGACCTCCAAGGACCCATCCCTTCTGCAGCTGCGGACAGCATTGGGGGCAGAAGGGCACAGACCTTTCCCCAGAGCACCCCAGGGACACTGTGATCAGCCCGAGAATGTTCTGGGTTCAACTCCAGGATCTCCTTTGCACCTCCAGGGTCCTGCATGGACTCTGGGCCCCGTCCGACCACCACCACCACCACGGCTACACGTTCATCAAGTCTTCCTTGAGGAAGAACGGGAACCCCCTGTTCCTCCCACCAGCTTCTGCTGCTCCCCTTCCTGCAGGTTCCTTGTTTTTGAGCCATGGGAGGCTCCTCATGCCTCCTCACTCTCCATCTGTCCCTCACTGACACCAAGGCCTCCATCTTGCTGTAAATAAGCCCATCTGTTCTGTAAATAGATGTACAGAAGCCACACTCTTTCTTTCATATAATAAACTTTTATGACTCTTTCTTCTGTCTCTCAGGGGGGTCTTGTGGTGGAAGGAAGCATCTTTTCTCAGGTGAAAAGTGGTAAACTTCATTCAACAAATACTTCCTTATCCTGTAGTTCTAGCACTCTGGGAGGCTGAGGTGGGAGGATCACTTGAGCCCAGGAGTTTGAGGCTGCAGTGAGCTATGATGACATCACCATACTCCAGCCTGGGTGACAGAGCCTATCTCAAAAAACAAGACAAAACAAAAAACCACAAATACTTCTTTAGCACCTGGGACATTCCAGAGTGTGCCAGGAGCCAGGGTACAGCAAATACTAAAACCCACGAGGAGCTTGCAGACCACTGAGGGAGATGAATAGCCAATTCCAACCAAGTGGGAGGAATTCTGACCTGCCCTCACTCCTACCATACACCCTGTCCCTGGAGGCCATAGCAAGGGTTCCCACAAACACATGACTAAAGATCTGAGCGTTTGGAGTGCAAGGGCTTTTTGAAATCTAAGATCCCAACTCCCCTCTGGAAAACTGAGACCTGGTGGGAGAAGGGATTTTTCCTGGGTCACAGCAGCAGAGTGGGGAAGGCAACAACCTACTGTCCTGACCCAGAATCCTTTACTTTTCTCTCCTCAATAGTGGGGAGAACTCTTTTCTTTTTAGGCCTTGAAATGTGGGCCCAGAAATCTTGGTGTGTGTGTGTGTGTGTGTGTGTGTGTGTGAGACAGAGAGAGAGACTGTGTGTAGGGGCAGGGTGGGGCAGGGACTCTTTGTGGTAGGCCACGAAGGCAGTTGTTCTGGTTCCCTTACTGCTGGAGGCCTGGGGAGCCTGTTCACTGAATCTGAAACGTCTGGAATCCTTTTGCTTTCTGAATCCTCTGACCAAGAGAGGCTGATCTGATAGCTTCTAACTTAGCACGTTAGATCTTCGGCAGTAGCCGGACTTGGGTTCAGTTCTACTCTTTACAAGCTGGGTGACCTTAGATAAGAGGCTGAACCTCTTGGACCCTAAATTCCTCCTCAATAAAATGGGAACAATAACAGAACCTATCTCCTAGGATTGATGGTGAGCACCTAGCACATAGCTGTCACTAGGTAAAGGACAGCCATGTTTTGTGCAACATGGATTGTCAATAGTCATTTATTGGTTAGTTTCTGAGCCAAAATACTTTGTGTGCCTGTATCTCATTCAAATACCACCATTTCTCTGTGTGGCAGGTGCTATTATCATAAGGCACTCAACACTAATGGCACATAGTAAGTGCTCACAAAAAGCTATTAGTGAAGGCGCTTTTGTCTTGTAAAAGAAAAAAAGAGCATGGAGAGGCACTTTGCAGGGTGTAAGGTTCCGCACAAGTTTGTGCTGTTATCGTTACCTCGTCCTTTGTGGTCACATCCTTTATTTATTCTTTCTGAGCTGCTGTGATGGTCCCCTAGTTACTGTGGCCATGGAAACACGGCCGCCGTCCCGGATTGGACCGTTCGCGGGCTCCCTCTGGAGGCCACCTTCAGGTCCTGCTGGCTGACGACGGGGAGGGATTTTGAGACAGGAGAGAGGAGAGTCGGGAGTTGTAGGCGATGGGCGTGGCTGAGGCGGAGCGGTGCACGCCGGGAGTTGTAGTCCGCGGGCGAGGCGGTTGGCGGCCCCCAAGCTGAGCTCGGGCTTTACCCGGATGGCGGCTGCCACGCGCGGCTGCCGGCCCTGGGGCGCACTCGTCGGGCTGCTCGGACTGGTCTCGGCCGCGGCCGCCGCCTGGGACCTGGCTTCGCTGCGCTGCAACTTCGGAGCTTTCTGCGAATGCGACTTCCAGCCCGACCTACCAGGTAGGAGCCAGGGAACGCGGAGCCGAGGGGCGGGCGGACGCAGGAGCGTTGGGAGCCCGGGCCGGAGCGTGCCCCGGCCGCAGCGGCTGTGACCAGGAGTGTAGGAGTGGGACCCGCTGACGGCCCGGGCCAGAGGCGGGCCCAGCTTCTAGGGCATCTGAGAGCCCCGAGTGCGGACCTGATGCGAGGGTTTGGGAGTGCCTGCTGGGGCCCAGCCGGCCTGCCAGGATGGAGAGGCCTTTGACAGCAGAATGCTTAGGGGGAAGTGTCAGGCCTCCACGGAGCGGACTGGCAGTCAAGGGCGAAACCTGCTTTAAGGGTGGCAGGGGTCTGGGGCACGCCCTGCTGACAGCTCGCTCCTTCTCAGGGCTGAGCGAAATCTAGAGGACCGTCTGGTGGGGGCGCTGCCGAGCTGAGCCAAGCCTGAAGGTGGCTGTTGCCGCCAGAGACCCCAGGGTCCCCAGGCCATGTGCATAGACAGTTTGAACTGTAAGAACACAGGAATCCCAGACTAGGTTCTAGACATGACTTCCACCTTGAACCTGTGCCTTGGTGGGATGTGTCCTCAGCCAGCTCTTAAACCTTCCTTCTATGGCCCTAGGACTGGAGTGTGACCTGGCCCAGCATCTGGCTGGCCAACATCTGGCCAAGGCGCTGGTGGTGAAGGCACTGAAGGCTTTTGTGCAGGACCCGGCCCCCACCAAGCCGCTGGTCCTGTCCCTGCACGGCTGGACCGGCACGGGCAAGTCCTACGTCAGCTCCCTGCTGGCGCAATACCTCTTCCAGGGTGGCCTGCGCAGCCCCCGTGTGCACCACTTTTCCCCCGTCATCCACTTTCCGCATCCCAGCCACATCGAGCGCTACAAGGTAGGCTGGGCACGTCTTGGACCAGGGTTGGCCTGCAATATGGAGTGATAGACCCTTAGGGAATGAGCCCTGAGCTCAGAGAGGGGAATTACTTGCTCCAGGCCACACAGCCCTTTGGAGCTCCAGCCCTCAGGACCCATTCTGCACAAAGCTTAGGAAAGAGCCATTCTACCTGGCAGGGGAGCAGTAATAGTATCGATCTGCCAGGGACATGTTGTGAGGGACATGGGGTAACTGCAGGTATCATTTATGGAGCATCTGTTTGTCAGACAGTCTGCATTGTCATTTCCCTGTAAAGCACTTGGCACGAATTTGTGGCTCAGAGTAAGCACTCAGTAAATACTAGCTCTTACTACTGTTGTGGATTGCAAGGTGGTTTCCAAACTGATCTGTTTTAGCTGTCAACACTGCAGGGAAGGTTCAGGAAGCAGGAAGGTTCCCCTTTTATAGAAAGCGGCAGTGTCATGGAACGAGCCTTGAACAGGGAGGTGGGAGGCCCGTGTGTGAGTCCCTGTTCTTCTGCTGACTGGCTGAGGGACTTTGGGCGTGTCTCTGCCCCTTTGGGTCAGAGTTTCTCCATGCGTCTCATTAAGGGGTTGGTGCTCTCTGTGAGACCGAATCTCCCTGGGAAGGGGATTGGTTCTTGGCTTGGGAAGAAGTCTGGGGTTAGGGGACTATCTCTAGCGCCCCTTGAACTGCCATCTCTCCCCCTCAGAAGGATCTTAAGAGCTGGGTCCAGGGAAACCTCACTGCCTGCAGCCGCTCGCTCTTCCTCTTTGATGAGATGGACAAGATGCCCCCAGGCCTGATGGAAGTCCTGAGACCTTTCCTGGGCTCCTCCTGGGTTGTGTATGGGACCAACTATCGCAAAGCCATCTTCATCTTCATCAGGTAGGGCCTGGCTTTGCAGTGGGCACAGGGCGGGAGACATCTCTCAGAGGTCCAGCTGTACAGCCTTGGCCTGTGCTCCTGGCAGAATACTGTTCTCCCTGGGTCCATGCTCTCGCTGGTGACATTGTAACTGAGGGTGGTTCACTTCCCCTTTGACATCCTCAAAGCCCTTTCCGGGCTCAGTCTTTTTGATTCTTGCCAATATTTTGTGGAGGCCGTTCCAGGTGGAGTTCCCTCTTTTGTGGCCAGGAGGACACAAGCCTGGGAAAAACAGGAGTAGAGTTCTCATCCTCTAGTTGAAGCTTTCAGAGTCCTAGCTGTGTTTCCTTAGGCAAAATTCTTCACCTCTCTGAGCTTCTGTTTCCTCTTCTGAACAGCAGGGCCAATATTAATGCCCATTGTCCTCCTGGAGGCTGGGTGAGGGAAAGCCAGCTAAGGGACACAAAAGTGTTTTGTGAACTATACAGTACATGGCACACATACTGTGTTTTCCCAAAAATAAGACAGGGTCTTACATTTATTTTTCCTCAAGAAGACACCCTAGGGCTTATTTTCAGGGGATGTGCTATTTTTTTTTAAGTATGGTACAATAATCTGCATTTATTCAAATATAGTTAAGTCATCTTCCTCTGGAACATCATCATAACCCTCTAAACCCCGAATTCCATCCTCAATTTCTTTTTTTTTTTTTTTATGAGCAAATACTTTTTAATGTTTTTTACAAACATATTGGAGAATCATGCAATGCTGCCAGCATTGGACGAAATCCTGGGCCACAAGTCTGCACACTCCTTTGCAACGGGTCCTATAATGGCAGAGCCTTTCATCTCGCCTTTATTATTTACTGTGACCCCTGCATTATCTTCAAAATAAAGAAACACACCATCTTTTCTCCGGTATGACTTTTGTTGTCGAATTACCACTGCCGGATGTACCTTTTTTCTGAGCTCTGGTTTGCCATTCTTAACTGTGGCCATCACCATGTCACCCACACCAGCAGCAGGAAGTCTGTTCAGTCGTCCCTTGATCCCCTTCACAGAGACGATATACAGATTTTTGGCTCCTGTGTTGTCAGCACGGTTGATCACGGCTCCTACCAGAAGACCCAGGGAAATGCGGAATTTCGCACCAGAGGACCCACCACGTCCTCGCTTCGACATCTTGAACGCCGGAAAAGGAGAGAAAGCCATCCTCAATTTCTTGCAACTCCATTTCCTTTAGAACCATTGGCCCCAATCTCTCATGTCGAGCAGTGGAGCTCTCATGGGGCAGATGAGAAGGGCTGCTCGTCTTCTTTACCGCTCTGCCACGAAATGCATGGGTTGTGCAGATGCGCTGCGTAGCCACACCCATCACTAGGTCTTATTTTCGGGGTAAGGCTTATATTGCACAAATGCTTAGAAATCCTGCTAGGACTTATTATATGGGTAGGTCTTATTTT